TCTCTTTCTCTCTCTAGATTCTTCCACTCGCGGTTCTCGGTATTTCGTACCGTTTCACCGAGCTAGCGTTCGTCGAAATCGTCATTACTTAAAACGGCAGCGGAGATCCACGCGAGATTATTCCGTGTCTTTGAATTATTCAGAAATCATATATCCCGGAATTATACGTACCCAGAGATATACCTACCCCCTAGAAGAGCTTTATTATTTGCGCGGTGGCTTTTTGATACCGGAATATATTAAATATCTTCCATGGGCGGTTACGCCGGATGAAAAATTACTGTAATCCAAGCGGACCCGGGGATGGAATTTCATTGTCGGAATTAATTGCAAAGAGATGTAACGCCGAGAATATCCCTTTGATCCTTCACGGGTTATATACAACTTGTCCGCCCGGACGATACGGGCCCGCGGAGGGGGGAATCGAATTAATCGGGATTAGCGATAATCAATGTCGCACCACCGGTGGTGCGACATCCAGGCTGCAGGAACTCCGAGGCCGCTCTCGGTCGGCCTCGTTAAATCTCATTGTTTCGCCAGCGCGGAAATCGGTTTTTTTCCTTTTTCTCCCCCACTCCGCGAAATCGTCTTCCGATCGATCTCTCGGCACGGGTCCCCCCTGCCGCGCGAGACCGGCGATGTCGTTAATGCCATTATGTAATAAGGCTCGCCGGACTGTCGTGTCCAGGGGAATTGTCATTTATATCCCGCGTGACAGCTGCGCGCGAGAAAACACGATTATCCATCGACAACGCGCGCCGGTGGCTTGCGGGCTCTCGTTACATTCCCATGCGACGTTAATGTTAGAAGTGGAAAAATTATCTCGCGCCACGCGTATACAATATATCGCCCGCTTTATGCTCGCGAATATTAATCGCCCGACCTGGCTCGAGGAGTGACCTTCGCGTGGCGCGTAATATCGGGGCCATTAAAGCCTCCTCCACGGAAGCTCGAAGCCTCAATGGGTCGGGTATTGCGCCGCGATACGAGTAGGGCTAGCCAAACCCCATCGGGTCGCCTAATACGCGTATATTAATTTCCACAGCCACGTAATAACACAGCCGGATATTAGTGTTCCTCTGTATAGTAACGCCCCGCGGTACACGGATAATCTGATATTAAATTGAATGTAACGACCCTCCTCTCTAAACTCTCTATATATCTCTCTCTCTCGCCGAGTAATACCTCATATTTATTGGCAGCTCGAAATATCGTCTATACGTTCCCTAAAGACTACCCGCCGCAAATCCAATTCCGATAATCGAAGACTCGAAGGACAGAGGGAAATCTGTTACCAACTCGTCGACCCCGCGGAAAAATCACTCGATATCCTTAAAGACGCTGTCGGTATCCCGTTTCGAACACGGATACTCCCCCAGTTTCTTTTCATGCGTCCGTTAAGTGCTTCCACTCGACGTGTAACACGAAACTGCATTTCGCCTCAAATTTACTTGTGTGTGAGAGAAAGAGAGATATATATATATATATATAGCACGTCGCCCACGGCCCGGCGGAATTGCACACAGGACGATACGATCGTTCAGAAACAAGTGACAAAAAGGACCAAAGAGAGAGATCGGTATCTCTCTCGTCGCGAAACTGCAAAATGGCAGTCTTCGCGGGGAAAGAGTGTGTACACACGACTCTCCGATCAATTTAGAAAGCAATTTTTTGCCGCGATAGATTATCTTCGCCGTTCGACGAGCAAACAAAGTGCAGGGATTCAATTTTTCTCTCGGGCGCGGGTAGGATATAGATTTAAATATTAATGCTGAAAACACCAATCGTGTAAAACAAACAGAGAATATTTTTATATCTTGAATACTTTTGGGGGGAGGGGGGGGGGTATTGCTAACTCTTTAAATCCGTGCGTCGGCAATTTTATAGCGCGTTCCAATTTGACGCTCGCAATGCTCGCAACTGGAACGCACCTTTACTTACAATTAGTCGTCGTCGCCGCAAACCACCGATATCAGAAGACGCATTGTCGACGTTATGCTATTAAATTATTTCGGAACGATACGGAATTTGACCTAAGCCCTTTTAAGCGAGCGTATAAACAATGCACCCACTCCGTGCAACGCGTTCACCATCAATAAGTAAGCAAGTTATACGAATAAATCAATATCGGGGTGGGGGAAAGGGGGGAGAGGGCAGGAAGACCAGAGAAAGGCCAATATCATTTTGCGCGGCCCCGGTGCCGCGATGGAAGGGTAAATGTCCTCTATCTAAACCTACGACATTTCCTGGCCGCGCCGCTTCCAAGCCGCAGAACGCAATTGCCTGTTCCACTTTGGGAGATAGCGGCGGCGCATGTGAGATTGATGCGACCGTAACCCCGGGAATCGAAAAATGTCAAGGGTGGGTCGTCACCGATTTTTCGGAATTCTATACTCGGCGACGACGCGGGAACGGAAGAGACCTACGTGATTGTGCCATGTCTCGTTGTGTGGATCAATATCTTAAATTACGGGCATTCGAAACGGATAATCCCGGGTAGAAAGAATTTCTACATATATAAGAGCTCCCAGGGGAGCGCCTGGATCCGCGGTGATTACGTATTCCTAATATAGCATTATCGGATCTCGGGAAAGGTTCCCTCGGAGGAATCGTTAACAAATTTATCAAAAAGATTGCGCGACCGGCCTTACGGTCCTTAATGTCCTTAAAGGATTAATTCCGCCGTCGGTCTCGCTTTCCGCGCTACTTACGTCCAAGAGAGATACCTTTTCCTCCGTACAAAGGAAAGGGAATATTCTCGAGCTATAAGCTGGACTTCGAGTTCCTTTTAAGGTACTCAAAAGAGGGCATGGAGGAAGCTATGCTCTCTCTCTCTCTCGCTCGCAAAAACTTTCCGAGATCTCCCCGAAGTCTCGTATAAACTTCCACACACGTCGTCACTCCCGCATCAAACTTGTACGCGAGTTACTCTTTACCGATATACCCGCCGCGCGTTTAACCCGTGTTACTCCGTCCCGCGCGCGTATAACTGGCAAATCCTCCGTAAATCCCCCGTCTCTTGTTACGCGGATCGCGTGATGCCGGCTTAATGGTTTTCTATGCGACATTTCGCTCCGGCATCCGTGCGAGACATGCCACGTTTATCCGACGTTATTCGCGCATGTGACGCGCCCCGCACGTCATCCCCTCGCGGTATACATATGTAAACGGACGAGGCTATATTAGCGTTTAGAAGAAAAAAAAGACGAATATAGATTACCGAACGAATTCAACGAAGTTTTCTCTCTCGATTGAAATTTTCATAAGATTCTCTAAATCGACGATCTGATGACCAAATGTCAGCCGTAATCGACATGTTAATTTTAAGAATAACCCTAATTGCGATTTTGATTGTGTTTAATTAGGAGATCCAGCGGAGTATTGCGCTACTAGAAATCGTGACGACAATCGTGAAGCTATTATATACATTTTCTTTAGCTTTACCACTTTCTCTCATTCTAATATAATTCCAATTACATTAATAAATTTTTAAAAAAATTTGTATACGCGCTACTTCAATTCGAGGAACTCAGAATTACGTTATATAATTACACAATAATTGGGAAGCTATATATTGCGGAAAATTAAACGCCCTCATCTACAGGCAAAGAATATATCTCTTCTCATCGAAAGGAAAATCGGCAAGTGACGCACGAACGCGGAAATGCATAACATTTTGCTTCGTTGTCTCGTATATATATACCCGTCGTAATTACTTGTTTACAGATAAAACACCGATTTACCGATTGTTAAACGCGCGCAACGGATAATCGAGCAATTTCCATACTCGATTAACGCTTTTAACTACGGGATAATACAATGCTCCGTGTAAATAACAAATATTGATATTCCTCCCCGGTTGCAATCTCGTGACTGTAAACTCGTAATCAATATTCGATTCTTATTTACATTAGTTGCGTGCAATCCTCGCGATCGATAATCTCCCTATCAAATGGCTATTTGCCTAATTTATATTCCCCCCCTCTGCCGCCCGCCGCGGCGGCAGTGGTATATTACGATTCCGCCGAGTTTCGAGTACCTTGAGAGTAAACTCGGAGAGAGGAGGACTTCTATGACTTGCACCTCCGATGAGAAAGTTCCGATAGAATCGAGCTTGTTCGTCGAATTAATCAGACGCGAGTTCGCCGAAACAAGATATTCTAGTTCGCAATACTCCGCCCGCGATGCTAATTAAACGCAATCAAAATCACGAGCATTGCATTGTCCTTAAAATTAACATGCCGATTCTCGGCGCAGAATACAGCCGATATCTGGATCGTCGATTGTCGATTTAGAAAATTTCGCTCGAAATTTCGCGTCGAACTCAATTTCTGGTTTAACGTACATTTATTAAATGAGCTAATTACACGTTTCTCACCGGGCAGATTTAATAATAAAACTCGAAATTGTTCACAAATGGGCGTAATCGACCGACCGATCGGTCGGGCGTCGCGTCCGCTATTTACTACGTTTTTCTACTTGCGCGCGGTCCGACAATGAGACCCAATCGGCCGCGAGAGGACAAAAATATTCCACGTGGTCGCATATATCGTTTATCATTTTCCCTTATTTTAATATCATTAATTATATTAATATATTATTAAAAAATTTGTGCGCGCGTTATTTCAATTCTTGCAAGGAACTCGAAATTTAATTAAAATTCAAAAGTTACAATCACAATAATACGGGAAGTTGTTGTGGAAAATGAAGCGCTTTTATTTACATGCAACCAGGCGCAGAGGATTTCTCTCCTCGTGACAAGAAAATCGACAAATATCGTACTAGAGCCGCGTTCCCCTCAGCCGAGGCGCTCTGACGCTCTTCTGTTCGCGACGGGATAATCTATCAGGTGCTAAAAGCGAAGGTGATAAAAAAGAAACGGTGCCCGGAGATTCCCGTGGGGGAAGAAAAACGTGGGCCGCGAGCGAGCGAGCGAGCGAGCTGAGGGAAACGGGCGTGTGTCGTGGATGCGCTTAGGTCCCCGGGATGCCAGCACTCACGTGGGGCTCTCTCCGATGCGGCGCGTGGCGGGCGGGTGGTAACCGGATTCGGTCGCGACGAGGCCGGCCGGCCAGCCGGACGGACCGCCCGGCGGAACTGCTGCGACATGCGGCGACGCTGCTCTCAGAGTGGCAGCCCGCGACGCGACCGCCGGCGACGTTCGGCGTCGCGCGCCGCAACCTCGCGCGCGCCGACCGCCGTGCATCCGCGGGCTTTGTCGGTGGCCGCGCCGCCGCCGACCGCGGACTCACCCTTTCTCACTTCCTCCCGCGGTCACGGGCTCCTTCCGTCGCGCTCCCTCTCTGCTCCGGCCGCGCTCCCCGGCCTTCTCCGCCATCACCACCTGCTTCTCCTTTTCCTTCCGCGAATTCTAGCGGACCGCGGCGGTCGTTCCCGGGAAGAAATATGCCTTGAGCGCACACGGAATTCCCGCCACTCGCTCTTTCCTCCTTCGCCTCCTCTTTCATCCTCTTTTCCTCTTCCTTCTTCACTTACGCGGCATAGCGCGCGTCAAATAAACTAATAAAGTTTCTCTCTCCGATCCAATTCCTCTCGATCGAGGGACGCCGCCGGGCGAGAAGTGAAACTGCTGACATCACGCGGCGATTGTAAGAAACTGGTCGAGACAGGTAAAGGATATTCTATATATGATAACTCGGTCGTAAGGTAAAGGATATATTCTAGATAACTCCGCGCCGCTTATCGACAGTCGTCAAATCGGCGGCTGAGAAAAGTAAAATAAATTACATTTTAATATTATTCTCGTCCATATAACGCGTATAGAAAGTCAATAGGAGGCGAATTAATATTTTGATTATTTTCGAGAAATCTCATATTTTACTCTACCTCCGTATAATTTCACATATGTAATATTTTGTAAATTACATATTAAAAAAAAAAATGCATCGTCAGTCCGTGAGCGGCGCTAGTCTCAGGCGGCGCAGTCGTGTGTATGTGTCATTGTGTACGCGACTCGATTCTCGCATGGGCTTCGAAAAATTCGATAGTGACAGTAGTGGTGGTGGAAATTGCGGAAATTTTTCCTTTTCACGCGTCCCGTAAAAACAAACAAGAGAAATCCGCGATGTGGTAGTCGCATTCGCTCGACGTGCGACGAGATCACGCCTGGTCTCGTACTTTTCACGTGACACGTTTTACTTCTCGCCAATTTCTTCGTCGATCAAGGTTACTCTCCCGCTGTCGCATATGCACACCCCTTAGACGACGTACGAGGTTCTTCCCTCCTTCACGTTTCACCCTCGCAAAAAAATCGTATCGCCGCTGAACGCGATCGACGTGTACGCGGCTGCGAAGAGCCCGGTCGAGCGGGAATCCTCGCGTTGTTGGCCCCGTCGAAAGTGTCACGCGCGCGACCTGGCCCGCGGGTCGCCGATGTTGTGACAATTCCTACGTCAACCTGTCAACGGCAGCGGGAAAGGTCCGCGGTACGAGGAGCGTGTACAGGCGCGAAACGTCGTTCCCCGAAGATGAGCTCGCACCACCATCTGAACTCGTCGTCCGGCGAAATAAATCACATCCACTTCGTCTCCGAGGACATCGGGTCGCTGTACCTCTCCGAGGAGTACGCGGACGTGACCATAGTGGTGGCGGATCAGAAGTTCCGCAGCCACAAGCTCATCCTCGCCGCGCGCAGCGAGTACTTTCGCGCCCTGCTGTTCGGCGGCATGAAGGAGTCGCTGCAGAGCGAGATAGAACTGACCACCGCCTCGCTGCCCGCGTTCAAGGGCCTGCTCAAGTACATCTACACCGGACGCATGTCTCTCACCAACGAGCGGGACGAGGTACCGATCTTTTTTTCGGTCGAAATTGCATTTTGTTAAGGAGCGCAGGTAAAAGTGCATCTATAACGAGAGTAGTAAGTTGTGAGCCGTAGAAGAAATATTGACCAGTTACAGTCGATTATTCTTCTTATATTCGACTATAATTGTTTCAATCACTTACGGCTTATAATTTACTACTCTCATTGTGGATGGACCTTTAAGAGATTGTCTTTTTATTCTTACCTTTAATTCTTCGATACTTTGTTTTACAGGTCATTCTCGATATCCTGGCGTTAGCGCATTTATACGGATTTATGGACTTGGAAGCGGCTATATCCGACTATCTCAGAGAAATATTAAATATAAAGAATATCTGTTCAATTCTGGACACCGCATTTTTGTATCACTTGGAATTTCTAACTAACGTTAGTACATGCCTATCATCATGTATACATCTTTATCCCAAAGCCCATGTACCTGATGTATACTATATGTATGTAAATTGAGATAATTAGCATATGATTAAATCAGGTTTGCTTCGAATACATGGACGTGCATGCATCCGACGTCATACAACACGAGAGTTTTCTGCAGTTGAGCTCGTCCGCTCTAACCGAATTGATCTCCAGAGATTCCTTCTGCGCGCCGGAGATAGAAATTTTTTTAGCTGTACGATCGTGGGTCAATGCCAATCCCGAGATCGATTCGACCGAAGTGCTAGGTAATTTCCATACGCTAACGACTCACAATTAAGCGACGTATATTGCCTCTGAGTAGCAAGAAAGCCTATTTACATGCGAATGATTTTTACAGCTCAACTGAGATTAAGCCTGATCCCGCTGTCGGATCTTCTGAGTACCGTAAGGTTGTCGCAGCTGGTATCGCCGGACGCGCTGCTGGATGCGATCGCTGTACAGACGCAGACGCCCAATTCGAAGCTTCCCTACCGCGGCCATTTGCTCATTGACGAAAACGTCGCCGATCTGTCTCACGATGCTCAAGTGTTGCAAGGGGAAATGCGTAGCTACCTGCTTAATGGTGATACTCACAATTACGATATGGAACGCGGCTATACGAGGCATACGATATCTGACACGGATGAGCACGGGATTCTCATTAAGTTAGGATCGCAGTATATTATAAATCATATAAAAATGCTACTATGGGATCTAGATGTGCGATCTTACTCCTATTATATAGAGGTACGGGCAATAATAAATATTAAACGTGTATCAAACAAAAATTGTATATATTATATACAGAGCTCTTTTAACTTGTTATATTTTATTGAAGGGATCCATGAATCAAAAGGATTGGGTCATGCTTGTCAATCACAAACAGTACTTTTGCCGCAGTTGGCAGTATCTATATTTCGAGCCAAGAGTAGTGGTTTATATTCGTATTGTAGGAACAAATAATACAGTAAATAAGGTGAGTTTTCTTGACCATAATAATTTAATTAAAAAATGTTTCAATAAAAATTAAATTCTTATATATATGTATTATATAACAATTTAATTTTTATTAAAACATTTTACATACATGCGTATGAGTGTAGATTTACTTAATAGATTTATTAATTCGATTCTGAAGCATTTGCGTGTTGTTTTCATTCGACAGGTTTTTCATGTTGTCAATTTTGAAGCATATTACACAAATCATATGGAGAAACTTTGCCAAGGTTTCATTGTACCCAACAAAAATATCGCTACTATCGAGCGAAGCGCGTGTGTAATTGAAGGTGTGAGTAGGTAAGCGAAATTTCCCGTCTCTTTACTGTGTCACATCCAACGCGTAATACGCCTCTTTTCAAGCTTTATTTCTCATTAGGTCACGTAATAATTTACTGAATGGAGACACAACCACTTACGATTGGGACAGCGGTTACACGTGCCATCAACTCGGCTCTGGATCCATTCTAGTGCAACTAGGCCAACCGTATATGTTGGACTCGATGCGGTATGATTTTTAACATGCTCGTGCGCGCTCATACGAAGCAACTGCATATTTGTCTCTAACCGTTTCACTGTATTTCCGCAGATTGCTACTTTGGGATTGCGACAATCGCTCCTACTCGTATTTCATAGAGGTGTCGGGTAACGCCTGGAATTGGGCATTAGTCGCTGATAAAACGAAGGAAACCTGTCGGTCCTGGCAGACGATACATTTTCAACCGCCCCGTCCAGTAGTTTTTATAAAAATAGTGGGCGTTCACAATACTGCGAATGAGGTTCTTATCTAATCAGATCAGTTATTTGATACGGATTTTTATGAGATAGTAGGTAACACAAAAAAAATGATCGGGATGTCTACAGGTGTTTCACTGTGTTCACTTCGAGTGTCCAGCGCCGGTCGAGGACAAATCTTCAAAGTCGCCAACGCAGGAAGGACAAACGTCGACGTCGTCGGACGGTAATAATTCCTTATCTCCCCCTCCCCCTCCCCTAGCCGAGGTAGCTACGGAAGCGGTTCATATTGATAGCGATGAGTCGTAACTAAAGTTAACCGAGTTCTGCATGAGACGATGAAAACACGAGTGACAGCTCTGTCGATGATTCTGTAGTTGCTGCTCTTGTTCTGTGAGCTAGATGAATTTCTCTGAACAACTTCGTCGAGTGACCTCAATGCAACTTTTAAGACTGTCCAATAATAATTATCCGATGTAAGGTTGTAATTAGTCATCTCGTTTTTCTTGTTTACGAGCTTTAACTTTTATCATCACTTTTTATCGTCGATGACTTCTAATGTAAGTGAGCTTAGGATAAATACGTAGCAGCTGTCAATTTTTATCAGCAGCAGTATAACAATTAAATTGGAAGTTTGTTACACGAATATTTAATTTTGTTTGCGTGCTTTGATAAAGCTTTATCTTTCTTTTTTTCTCTCTCTCTTTCCTCTTTTTGAGAATGTAAAATTTTTGGTGCAAAAATTGAGACCTGCTTTTCGAATATCGTTTAAATTATTAATTACTGCGTAGTTGTTAAAACAAAAATATATATATATATATCACATAATGGTACAAAAGATCGATTCTAATCATATATAAATTATATTAAATGTTAATTAGATTTTAAATTATAATATGAAATGTTAATTATGTTACGTGTTTTATAACATTAAATTACGACATTCAATATTACGCAATGTGTAACATAATTGCATTTTATATTAGATGTGTTGATATTATATAATTATGTTATATATATTACATAATATTAAATATTTGATAATATATATGTAATTTATAAATATCTGTAAGTGATGGAATGCGCAATAGTTTTCTCGTACGCACTCGTTCGTCAATTCTTTAGTCTTTCTTCGCCAGCTTCTTCTATATAATATGACGTACTAAACTAATTTACGCAAGAGATATTACTTTATTAAATATCAATGTCGTGACTTTATAAAATAAAATTTAATGCGTATGATTGTAATCACGATGACAGATAGAGTAAGATTTTCTACTTCTAAATATTTTTTCACGCTATAAATCGTTAATGAACTAAAAGTAATTATAAATTGGCAGCTGCTATAGATTGTTTTGTTAACAAATTATCTTTCAATTCTATGTTACCAAATATTTTATAAGCACGCGATATAACTTCACAATACTCTTATTAATATAATGGGGTCTGGTTATACAGTATTTCTCGTCGTATAAGTGTCTTTCTCTTTGTAGGAACTTTTGTTGCGAATTTAACCTTGTGCATTATACGTACAAATAATTATTTTTCTAGTCTACGTATACTGGATGTAACGCATGTCGCGGGAACTTGATTATAATGAATTATACGAAAAGTTTAATTATTACGATAAATCAATAAAATCAATAAAAAAATGTCTTAATATTTTAAAACTCTTGTAACTTATTGATCATTATTTCAATTGTCCTGCGATTATTCTATACTCGTATCTTCTTCTTTTATTTATTTGCATCGCTGTTGTAAATTAAAAGGAACACTCTTGGCAATATTATTAAAAATTTTATTAAAAACATAAGATTTAATGTATACCTATCTTTAAAATATATAATTTTTATCGTGTTTCTCGCATTAATTTTGTTAAATAATAAACTGATAAACATTCGTGTGAAGCAAATTTCTTACGCAAAGGCTACGAATTCGTCGATAGAAATTAATATTAAAGTATAAATTGTGAAAAGATAATAAGAAAAAAAAAATTCTATTCTCAGTGTTTTCATTTCCCTTCTTTTTCGATCGGAGCGAGTTTTAAAATCGCGCGCCGGAAGTCGTCGCGAGCGAGAGTTGGCGCGCGCATGCGACGGTAGCGCGGCGGCGGCGGCGACGACAACGACAACGACAACGACGGTGACAATTCCGTCGCCATTTTGTTCGCTCGTTACATCGCAAACAGGCGAGGTACAGCGTGCAGCGGAGAGATAAGTCGTTTCTGCCAAGGGAAAAAAAAGGCAGTTTTCTAGCAAAGCCTTGGACCCGTTTCGTCCTCCCGCTTCTCTCTTTCTCTCTCTTTTCTCCTTCATCTTTCACACTCCTCCGTATCTCCCGCGTATCGTTCTTTTCTCCTGTTCCTCGTCGGGCTGCGGTGCAAGCAGCAAGCAGCGTTGATGATTGGGATTCCGCGGGACGATCGACACAAAATCACGGTCAAGATCCGCAACAACATGAAGAGGAGCTCGAGTCGCGACACCCCGCCTCCTCGCGTCAAGCGGAGCCGCTCTTCCATGGGACGGTAAGATGCCTCGACGCGACGAGAGACGCCGAGCGGAGTACGCGGGTCGCCCTCGCGTATCTCCCCCGGCGGCAACTTCACGCGGCGCGTCTCTTCTCGGCAACAAACAAGTCGCGCACGACCTCCCTTTGTCCTCTTCATTTTCCCTCCCCGCCCGCTCGTTTCCACTCGCCGAGATCGTTGATCCGCGTGACGATGATCGTTGACCTGCGATACATATTGTCGATGACGTGATGGATTTTCTTTTTTTTTTTTTTTTTCGCGATTATTCTACGCGTATGTCGGTGAAGCGTTGCGCGCGCGTGTATGTGTGCGTGTGTAGTGAGTAGTTTACAGCTGGCGAAACGTCGATGCATCCGTAATTGGTATTTAATGCGTCTCAAACGGAACCTAGGCTGCATTTTTCAAAACGTTGCTTCCGAGGAAGATCTTGCCAACGATCCACAGTTTGCATTACACGTGCTGTAGCTTTTTAAAATTTTCCTCGAAAACAAATGTTTCGGAATGTAGCTCTGGAATATTCTGGATATGCAAATTCTTGTGATTTTTTTTTAATCGTTCGAACAACTTTCGCCGCGCGATTATTCCACGGTGCCTTAATGTCGTTCCGTTCCGATGCTTACGAATCGATTTCACCTGCAGCTACAACTCGACATGTGACTCGTGCGCGCGTGTATATACATGCGTATGCATTGCGCTGCTGTAATTAAAACTCGCTGCATCTCGCGCGATTTCCAGATACGATGACTCCAGCGACGAGCGCATCAGCCCGGAGAGGATCCGGCGACGGAGCCGAGGCGCGAGAAGTCCCAGCCCGCCCACGCGGGCCTCCTCACACGCCCGCTACGTTGAATCCAGCTCCCATCGGGACGAGTATTTGCGCGCGTCGCGCGACGTGCCGCGGGAGCGGCCGTACAGCTACAAGATGCTCTGCGTCAGCTCCATCCATCCGAAGGCGAGCGACGAGGTGATCAAGGAGACGCTGTACCGGGAGTACAAGAAGTTCGGCGACTTCTCCATACAGATCTCGCACGAACCGGACGAGCGCGTCGCCTACGTGTGCTTCCGCAGCTCGGAGGACGCCCGCGACGCCAAGCACGCGAAGCCCCGCATCATCATGTACGACAAGATGGCCCTGGTCGAGCCGGTGTACGACAGACCCGAGACCTACCGCCGCCCGCGGTCGATCACGCCGCCGGACTACGAGAGGTACTACGCCCGGTCGCCCGGGCCCACGGATCGGCACAGGCCGCTCGAGCGTTACGAGCGCGTGTACGGGCCGCCGGTGGGCCTGCCGCCGCATCGCGAGATGCGCCGCGAGACCATTCCGCCGCCGCATCACGAGTTCGTCCGGCCGCCGATACATCCGCACGGGCCGCCGCACGTTCACCCGGGGCCGCCCCATCATTACGGACCGCCGCGGCACATGATGATGCGCCATCCGGTGCACGGTTTCGAGCGGGTGGAGAACAAGAAGGACAAGTTCCCCAATTATCTGCACCACGTGTCGCCGGAGGACGACCCGCTGGCGACCAGGACCCTGTTCGCCGGCAATCTGGAGATCAACATCACGGAGGAGGAGCTGCGCCGTATATTCAGCAAGTACGGCATCGTCGACGACATCGACATAAAGCGTCCGCCGCCCGGCACCGGCAACGCGTACGCCTTCGTGCGCTTCCAAACCCTCGACATGGCTCATCGATGCAAGGTGGAGCTGTCGGGTCAGTACATCGGCAAGTTTCAGTGTAAAATCGGCTACGGCAAGGCGACCCCGACGACGCGGATTTGGGTGGGTGGCCTGGGACCGTGGACCTCCGTGCCGCAGCTTGAACGGGAGTTCGATCGATTCGGTGCGATAAAGAAGATCGACTACATCAAGGGTGACAGCAACGCCTACATTCTCTACGACTCGATCGACGCTGCCCAGGCTGCAGTCAAAGAGATGCGTGGCTTCCCTCTGGGCGGGCCGGATCGTAGACTAAGAGTGGATTTCGCCGACGTGACGCCGGGCTTCGGCTTCAAGCCCAGATCGTATACCGAGGACAGCGGCGACTTCAGACCACGTCCAGTCGACTACGAATCGCCGTACGATCCTTACGGGCCTGACGGTGAATTCGGTTACGGGCCGCGGGGCTTCCGGGGCGGAAGGGGCAACGCGCCGTGGCACGACCGACGTGGAAGCTCTCGAGGTGGTTACAGAGGCTCCTATCCCGAGGGCTACGTACGCGACGAGACCGACTGGTCGAGTAGAAGACCGCCGCCGGAATTGGAGTACGAGGCGCCACGTGGTCTCAGACGATCGCTCTCGCGCGAGCCGGGAGTCGACAGGTCGAGATCGCGTTCACCGCGTAGACGGCAGATAGATTCGGACTCCGATTCAGAGAACGCGCGCACAGGAATGCTGTCGACGTCCCGTACGCTACCGGACGTGGCGCGCAAGTCGATCGCGGTGTGGCAAGGCGCGTTGATACTGAAGAACTCGCTGTTCCCAGCCAAGTTTCACCTGACCGACGGCGAGACCGAGATAATCGACTCTCTGATGAAGGACGAGGAGGGTAAGCACATGCTGCGCATTACCCAGCGGTTGCGTCTCGATCAACCAAAGCTGGACGACGTGTCTAAACGGATCCAAACGTCGAGCTCGCATGCCATCTTTCTCGGTTTGGCCGGCTCGAGCACCGCGGTCACGAACGAGGACGCCAATGTGCAAACACGACCGCTGCGCAATCTGGTCTCCTATCTGAAGCAGAAGGAGGCCGCCGGTGTCATATCGTTACTGAACAAGGACACGGAGGGCACCGGTGTGCTCTACGCCTTCCCACCCTGTGCATTCTCGACGGAACTCTTGAAACGCACGTGCCCCAGTTTGAGCGAAGAGAGTCTCAAGGAGGATCACCTGGTGATTGTAGTGGTGAAGGGGGGTAGCGCCTAAGAAAAATTCTTAATATCGTCTTGTGTCCGTATTTTCTATATCGTATAAGTGCAAAGATTCTTCAATACGCGATCCTTAAGGAGCTTTTCTATCTTGATCGTTTTGCGAGGGAATACTTGTCTCAAAATGGATTGACCGAAAAGTATGACATTTTGTATTTAAAAAAAAAACTGTAAAATGAAGAAAAATTTTTAATTTTTTCCATATAAAATGTTTAGCGCTGCAAAATCTGCATTTTGGAAATTGTGCTGCATAATCTGAAGTATAGAGTATTTGTGACGGTAAATATTTTATGTGGAAGAAACTGAGAATGTTTCCTCATTGAACAGTTTTTTAGACATCAAGTTATATAAATGAATAATTACATTGTTAAAATGTCGTGCTCTTCGTTCAGTCCGTTTTCAGGAATGCATCTCCGCGCCGAACGATCGGCAAGCCTCTTAAACTGCGAAAAACAATGTACAGAACTTGTGAGAAGGAGAATTTGTGTTTTTTGATCGATGTAAGTATTTCGCTTTCTACTGGCTTCCAGACACGAGTTTAATCTCATATGATTGTAGACGGTATACTTTGATACTTTTTTTTATACTAATGTACATTGCATTGACATGGGAGTGTCAGGTATATTATATCCCACAATCAGACATGTGATAGGAGCTGGCAGTGCCCGACGATCGACTCGCGAGTTTATGCCAGTCGGCTGGATTTACACGAAAAATTGTGCGAATCCGGACGCTTACGTGAATTAGGCAGTCGAAATTAGGCAATGCGAGTTTTTATCATGAAGACTTAATCCTTGTATAGTTGTAAACTTAACGATAGAGACGAGAGGATGACGCAACTTTGAAATATTACTGAAAGACATTGTGTTCTCTGTATAGTAATCTTGATTTGTGATATATTTTTCCAGAATTACGACTGCTTCTCCGTAAAATGCACACACATCGCGTCGACGTTACTGTTAACGCCGAGAAATTAGAGTACTTATTTTCTATCAAAAAACACAACCTATTGATACCGTTCCCTAGTTTAGATTTATCAGGTAGCGATTACCAAATGGTAAAGTTTCTATTCGGCAAAATCGTTATTGACCACACTATGAATACTATGAATACTGTAATCCTCATTACCATAAGTGAATGCTATTAATTACTTTTAGTAGTACAAGAATCTATTAAGAATCTATTTGTATTATATACGTGTATACATTACATAACTATCTATACGTACATATTAGTAATAATATTGTGCACAGTTCTTTCACATTTGCAAGCATATAAAATTAATGTGATTAAGTTTACTTCTTGGCCAATGCAAAAATGGATTGTCTTCTCGAGACCTATTTTTTACATATGTGTGCACATAAAAATAAATACCTGACGAATGATTGGCTTGAAAATAATGAAATTAAGAAAGGAGATTCTTTGATAATTTGTAGATTTTTGAAATATTAGATACGTGGAAAGTCTTAGATACATTTTCATTGATATAAAAATTATATACTTTTAAACTGTAATTTATTAAGAGTGGTATATATTATTTTGTACTCAAAAGTACTTTCAAGTGTAACAAATAGTATGTAACTCTTATAACGATATGAGAACACGCATATAGATCGAAAGGAAAAAAAAATTTAATTTTTAATGTAAAATCACAATGGCGAAAAATGTGAAAGGTCTGGGTTAGAGTACGTTTGATATGGAAAATTTATATAATTAATCGTTTCACGACTTATTTCTGTAGATTTCTCTTGTGTGGCATAACATTTAAGTGATTGTGCAGTAAGTAAAATCCGTGAATGTAGTTAAAGTTTTTTAAAGTTTTGGACTGTGCCCAAATGAGTGAAGACAGTGAGAGGAAAAAAAAAAGATCAAATCCAGGAAGAGACAGAAATCCGCTTGACCGCAAAATAAAGTTTGTCCATCTGTGTTTTCATAATGTCAACAGAAGTTTATTCCTTTTTTCAGTGAGGACTGGTTTCTTTTCGTCTAAAAGACAGTGTTTGGTGGCATTAACAAAAAAAAAAAAAAGAATGAGCTCTGAACATGTGTCTAGTGAAATGTAAAGAAAAAGTAAAGTGATTTGTGCTCCGCGTTCCGGTATGGAGAGGGGAGCATCATCCCCGCGACGTCCGAAGGTGGTATATTTTTATATTCCCCTTCGGACATCACATCGGGAGAAAGGTGCGTCTCTGCCATACCTGAATGCGACTGAAGGTGCAGTGGTTAAGTATATTTAGTGTTTGAACGGAAAAAAAATAGATGCAGTTTATGTAGAGAGAAAAAAAATTACAAAATGTGTCAATTTTCTTGGTACCGTTCTTCACCTGTCAAAAATCTCGAAAATTCTCGATTGAACGTTTACAAGTGATATCAATTCAATTCCACAGAAATGCTTCCATTCGCGATATTCGAGGAAATTAAATGTTAAAGAGAAAAGAGCTTTGATCAGAGACGGAGATTAGGGGCCAGTAAGATAAATCGGACGTTCACGTTGAGTCGATTGAGAACGTTGGCGTCGCAACTCCTCGATTAAAAAAAAAAATGCATGCATGTGTCCGGGAGATAACAAGTTAGACTGCTTTCGATCTTGACAAAAAGTTCAGTTTATAAAATTCGATCTTTCGCTCTCGTTAAGTGAAGTTTATGTCGTGCAACATGGTGCTGTGATAATCAATCGTTTTAGCAATGACAATCCGGGAGGGGTGGGGAAAAAAAAAATGATTTCGAAAAACGACGCGACTATGTAGGTCGTTTAAATTTCAAGTGTTTGGTGTCAGCCGAGTAACGTCAATTCTCTCGATTTCTCGCGCGGGCGAGGAGGCTGCCGGCGCGTATCACTCGTCGCCTCCCTCTCTCCCCCACCCCCCCTCGTTGTGACGTTTCCTTAGTGTTTTTCTGTGGCTTGTGGATTCCGCCGGGCGGGGAGAGAGAAGCAGAGATAAGGTCGTCGCGAAATTAACTTTCACCCGGGAAACGCGTAGTTGTCGAAATTCTATTTCGCGCGCGATAAGAATATAGCTGGTGTCGTCTGTCCGTCGTATCAAAATTGTGCATCTGGAGTTAGTAATCGCGGAACTGTAACGAGAGAGAAAGAGAGGGAGTAAGAACTGTAGGAAAAGACACAGTGAGCGGGCGAGAGTCGTAGAGAATCTAAAATCATCCTCTCTCGATTCTGTGTGCGGGCAAAAAGTCAAAGTGAGTTCCATCAGTGAGTGCTGTGCCGCTCCTTATTTCGCCCGCCACCGCAGTATTTTCCTCGTATCTCTCTCGCTGGACTCCGGCGTGGATTGGCTGCACTACACGGAATTTCGTCGCAGCTTCTGGCTGTGTAAAGAAAGAGAGAGAGAGAGAGAGATAAAAAAAATGTGTTTTCAGAAAAATCTGTTTCAGAATCCACCCACGGAACGGAAGGCAGATCACGCTCGCGATCGGAGATCGTCTCTCTTGTTTGTATCCAGACTTGAACAAAAAAAAAAGAGAAAAGAATAAATCACAGACCTAAGACAATCTCATGCCAATCTTCCCAATTTCTCTCGCGAGTGTTCACACGCACGAATATTTACGTCGCACATTCTCGCGTGGTAAAAACTTTCCCGTTAATTCCGAAACGAAAGGGAAATACCTTCATAACCTAGCTGTCATAACCTCCAAACTTAACCTAGCAAGGATCAGATTCGATCGCGCGCGATTACGCTCGAGTGCGTGCGGAGTGCGTAATTTTTACAGATGTATTTAATCGTAAAGTAAACGCCGCATCAAATATTCAATTATTTATGTAATTGAAACAGTAGAGTCTGCATTCTTTATTAACAAAGGAGCGGGAGGGAGGGAGAGGGGAAAAATAACGGAGCAACAATTGCTAGAACAAAGATAGCATATATAGCACTTTATCGAAAAGAGAAATATTTTTTCTTGATTCTAAATCACGTATATTCGTTCTGATCGCAGTTTTCGTCTTCACTTCTTCGAAATTCGAGAGTGTAACTGTTGCACTCCCTGACGCGCAGAGCGGTGCAAGCGGGTGTAGCTCAAGCGGATTAACAGCTGACTGAACTGACAGGACGCGCTGCGTCCAGCTGATCGAGAGCGCGCACGTGCGGGCCGGCGCGGCGGTGAGTTCTGCGCGAATGCGTTTTCTACGTAATTTTACGCGACGAAAAGAAAAAAATGAGAAACGAGTTTAATTGAGGCTCCAGAGCGACCTCGAGCATTAACTGCAATTAATTAGATCGGCGATCGATTCGATCGGTTTTTACTCAATTATTGCATAATTATAAGGTAATAACATTTCTAACTTATGACTCATCAAATCCTTGCGCAGCTTGCGCCTAATTAAATCCCTTAATTTTTACATGTTAAACAGCAAAGCGCTAATAATTTTCTATACGCTATTAAAATATATATATAGCTCGATCAGTTAAATTAATTGTACATACGTCAATATTTCAGTGTTATATATTTATTAATAAATAAATTATAAGTTAATCGCCGATCAAGCTAGATTAAAATCTAGCCTTTAATCTGATCTCGATTCGAGTTTAAATGAACGTCTCGAAATTAATAGCTCCGAAGGGCTATGAGTTGTTTCTCGGAAAGGGAACAGAGACTGACACTTACATATTTCAGACATCTTATTGGACAGTGTATATATGTATATATATATATTATATTTTCAATTTCCACAACTTTTTTCATAGACAAAAATTTACCGCCGCTATAGACCCGTGAGTGAGAAATAATCGAAGCGTGTATTTATAAAAAGAAGGGAAGAGGGCTCGGTGAAGAAACAAAAAGAGGAACATCGCTCTCGTTAAGTCTTAAAGATAACGGCGTTAATCACGTCGCGCACGGTACCTAATCGCTGTATCGGTAAACAGGAAGAAACGCAGGACGTGTAAACGGGAACGTCACGTACGTGTGCGGTGGAGGGCGGCGGGGGGGAGGGGTGGGGAGGGGGATAGAGAGAAATTACGTTTGTTATACGTAAAATGCGCGCGGCACGCTGCTGTGCCGCAGCTCCTTCCTTCCTTCCTTTTTTTTCCGCCGTTATTACACGTAACAAAAATACACACTTTCAGGCAAACCTGCTTTGAACATCGATCGTGCGTTGTTGCAAGATTAGGAGTAAAAGCTAAATTGGCTGATTCTCTCTTTTTCGTTTGCGATGCATTTACCGCCCGACTGACATCAATTGCGCATAGCGGATATCGAATATTCCTGACGTGTGTGTATGTGTCTGCGTGTGTGTGTGTGTGTGTAATCTCTTTTTTTTTCTTTTGAAATTTATATCGCTAATCTAAACCTAACTACGTTGAACAACGGGTAAATGTCCTGAACGTAAATCCGAACGGATCCTCGCTATTATCGCGTTATTCTGTTGCCCTCGTATTCCAGTCTCGCGCCCCGGCCTCTCTTGCTTCGAACAGAGCTTTAATTATTAGAGAGGAAAAATGTTAGCGGTACGCTTGCCAGCGGATTCAAGCAGAATCTGTCATTTAAACGAGATGTATCAATCTGCCCTTATATTCCATTAGCAGATTCTGTTATATTAATTATTATTAACATTCTCGGTCAACAAAATTAACAGCAGATTATACTTTCCACAAAATATGCTTTCGACCGAATAGATTGAATCTCTTTAAGGATGAATTCTTTTAAAGTGATTTCATCTTTTATTTAATTATTTTTTATTTAATTTAAATTCATATAGTGATTAGGCGAAAAAGAAAAGCACAAAAAAATACCGTGGTGAATATTGTTCTTTTTCTTTCCTTTGTCATAGTGATAATAAAATTCAAAAAGAACTTGTGAGACACGTGTTCCCGAAAGATTCAATATTGCTCAATATTAAGAATCATTAAAAATAGAATGGCATCCGATTCTCGCAAGAATCAACTCCACTCGAGGGTCGTAAATAAGAAACAATGCGGCGAACGTGTGCGAGACACCCTCGGGCATCTGCGGTCGATTCGGCGAGGAGCAAAAGCATAACGCCTTCAGCGAAGACATTCCGCGCGTGTGTAACGGACCGCGTGTAATTATGTTAATTAATTATGTATTGAGATGTTCAGTCTCCTCGGAGTGTTGAGTAAGTATATGGAAGGCCGTGTTTGGTTCGAAGATAAACCTTACGAAGATAAATACCCCCTTCTCGGTATTACGCGCTTCTCGCACTCTCTTCTTCGTCCCGCGAGCGTTTCCTCCGTTTTCCAGAAATACGAACGCCGATGTTGTATGTGATACGAAAGCCGGTCCGCGGTTGATCAACGGTTTTCGGCTCGCGCGCTTCCTCGATCAAACGTGAATACAATATGTATGTAATTTCTGACACTGATCTGCTTCCGTTACCGCGTTTTAAGGTACCTATACTCATAGGCGCGCCATTTGACGCACGCGTCACGCGTTATTTGAGAAATAACTAGATTAAGTATACCAAGGCACAAATAATCGGTCCAAAGATTCAGTCTATCGAATCGATGTTTAGAAACGTCGAATCGAGGTCTGTGGGCCCATCATTTCTGTCTGGGTAGTGACTTCTAGCACTACGTCGCGTTTTACAGTTGAATTTATCCAACTGCAAAAGCGTCATCGCATTTGTCGCCGGTGTTCAAAAGCTCATGCCCCAGGGAGGACCTGAAGAACCAAAAATTATAACTGTTTCCGACAAAGATTGTTATAAATTATGACGCGTGACACGCGCGTCAAATGACGCGCCTATGAACAGGTACCTTTAAATTTTCCACAGAGAGATTTCACGCTCTAACGCGCGATTCTGCGACAGATCTGGATGTACCGAATTAAAATTCAATCTTGCGCAATAAATTTCACTCGATTTCTACAACTTTTTTCATTGCTTCGTACATATACGTCGAATGTCTCTCTCTCTCTCTCTCTCTCTCTCTCTCTCTCTCTCTCTCTCTCCTCCTTCCCCCCTCTCTCTCACTCTCTCTCTCTCTCTCTCTCTCTCTCTCTCTCTCTCTTTCTTTCGCCTTCCCGTTCTCCAATTCTTCTCAATTCCTTAACTCGCCCGAATTATCTAGTATAGACGAATAGACCTACATCTAGTCTCATGCTAACTCATGAACAAAACTATATATCGCCTCATATACATATTTGTATTGTATATATATGTACATACATACATACATATGTATGTATGTATATATAAATTTATATATATATATTATATATGCATATTTTATATCAGTCACGAAGTCGTCGAAACCAAGCCTGAGGGTAATTTGATTCGATACTACGATTGTTTAATGATTCAGTCGTAGCGTCATTATACGGGCGCGTCGCCCGTATTAATACACGCAAAAGGAGCTTAAAATCGTAACATTACCATTAAGCGAGTAAGTAACAAGAGCGCGCTGAAGCTTTTTTTTTCTTTACATTTTAACTTTCATCGCGATCGGATTGAAGAAAAGAGAGAGCTCGATCGGTTTCCTACGACGAGCTAGCTGGCGCGGAAAATTGTTTCGGATATTGAGTCGTTGGACTCTGATATGTTTTACACGCTGCATCATAAAATTCGTGTTAAACAGGGGCACCTTCGACGAAGGGAGACCCGTCAGAGTGATTCCTCGTTGCCGCGATTAAAATTCCATATCCTAAACGCGAATTTGTCACTTTTTACTTCTTTTTGTATTTTTTTTTAATATTTCGAGATACTTCGACTAAAGGGATCGCGGAAGGTCGCCACGTCTCTCGATTCTTCAGCGCGGCTCTTGCAGACCCGAGGAAAGCCTCTCTCTGTGTGAGCACCGTGTTTAATTCTTTTTTTTTCTTAGAACGAATAAATCCGCGTCGTCGCCGTCGTCGCGACTGTCGCTTGTTCCGCCTCCTGCGATAGAGAGGGAGGATGGCCGAAGAGGAGCGACAGCGAGGGCCGTCGGCTGACACATCCTTTCCTTCCGGTAGAATCTCCGTCCGGGGAGAGACGCTCTCGCTTCTCTCTCGCGCGCCTCTCTGGACAGCCCCAACGTCGCGGATTACATTTAGTAGACCATTCGATGGGGATACTGGTAGCTTCGCGGCTGGGAGCTCAACTGCAGTTGTGCGGCGGGGTACGGATCATAGCTCTGAAAACACGAAGGAAAAAAGGGCGTTTTTCGACAAGTTTTTTTCTCTCGTCACTCAACTATCTTTCTCAGTGTCTCGCAACTGGCGAGCTCAAAGCTCGAATCGGCGAATTCAATTTACCTGCGTTCGCTTCTTAGACACCATGAACCTCTTCTGGGGATAATACGCGGTACGCTCGGGATAAACGAAATCGTACTGCGGATTAACGTGATTGCCGTACTGCGCGGTGTCCTCGTACTGCTGATCCAGCTGCTTCCCGTACTGCTCGTAATAGTTGGGCGGGTGGGTCCGGACTATCCCGATGTCGGAGGGCGACAGCGTGTCGTAGTGTCGCGGATACACCGGCGTCAGCCACGGGACAACTACAAAGGGATACGGAAAAGGATACAGAACCATTTCTGACGAAATGGCAGAAACTACCCGCGCTAAAGGAATTAACGTTCATTAATTATTTTTATTTTCACGCAGCCGGATTATTGTTAGTTATGGAAATGGAGAGTAAAAAAAAAGACACGAACCGTTTCTGGCGTCCTCGTCGAGGAAATCGCCGTCGTCTATCTCGTACTCCTCGTTAGCGTACTTGCGCCAGTTTCTGTTGCATGGAAATGAAAGGGATCGATGTGTCAAGCATATATATATATACATATTTTTTATGAAAGCACATAAAGGATTTAAGAGAGGCCAAGCCATTTACCCGTTACGCTGTTCGTTTTCCCACAGTGACAGGAGGGTTAACACGTCATCAGGATTGATGTTCAGCTCCCGCTTGTATCGCGGTTCCTGGTAGTACGGGACGCTGGAAAATTCAAGTGGAAAGAACGTTCCTATATCACCGGCCATTTCAACAGGTTTTCTTTCGAGGACTCAAGATCGAGTGGGTATCTAAAAATAGTTGCGTATACTCTCCTCTATCTGGATCCAAACGCGCAACGACGAACGGTCGGTAGTTTTCAGTCTTTAATGACCCCCGCGTCGCGCGATGGATCGTCGCGATAATGCTAAACAGGTGCGTCAAGAGAAGGTGGGAAACGACGGTTTAATCGGCGGCTGCAAAAATTGTCGTTTCTCCCACGATGCTCAGATATATCGATGCTTCGCAATCTCGTTTCGGGATCGCCTCGTGAATTCGTTATTCCGCCGCTCGCGTTCGCGCGACGACGTCTATATTTCAAGATTGATCGATGCTTATCCGTGACGCAAAACGACCGACGACGATCACCGACGACTCTCTCGCTGTCCCTAACACTACACACGGCGCGCTATTGTTCCCCGGCACGAACCGGCGCTTTATCTCGGGCCGCTGTCGGACGGAATTGTCCCTTTGTGCCTCGTGCGAGTGTCGCGATAGCTGACATGGGCATTCACAAACTCGCACTCGATACAACCGCGCGAGTATATACGAGGGAACAATACCGCGGACAATAGCGCGTCTTCGATCGCGGCAACGATCGTTATAGTTTCTGTCGTCGATACACGTCGTATACACATACACCTGCGACAGGGCGATCGATCGTACGATGTCTGGCAAAGACTTATAACGTTGATCAACCGATAGACTGGCCACGTGCCAAAAACCCGAAATATAGGATACTTTCATTCAGCTTGCCGGTTATGTTTACCAACGCGTAGTAAGGACTCTGGCCCTTCGCGGTCTTCGCGCCGCCAAGGCTGACCGCACGCCGAGTCGTACTACTGCAATTCGTGCGTCTCGATTCATTGAGCTCACTTTAGGACGGTCAATTCGCAACGGAATTCTATTTCATAAGTATTATATGCAGCAAAAAAATTAAATTGATATAATTTTGAACCTCGCGAGTCTGAGAATTAATTAAGGAGTTTTACATTGCGCGACATAAAATTTAAATCAAGAACGCTGCGCGCGGGTTATGTTAAAAGCGCCCCGACACTTTTTATCTCTCTGACGTTAGAGCTTTTCGGGGGGACGCGCCGCTTACACAGCTCTCCTAATCGATTAATCTAGTTCATTACGTCGGCGTTTCCTCTATTGATCTGCATCCGACGGGACTGTCTCCATTCAAGCCTCCCTCGAAACGAGGACGGGGCTGTTGTCTGATGCGCGTCAGCGGATTATATTATACCGTTCGGAACGGAAAGACGGCTCGTCCCTACGTCCGCGGCCGCCGGAAGTATCGTCGATAAATCCGCCGGGGCGTGCTCGTCGTATGATTGGCCGCGGATATACCGCCGAACAATCAAGCTCTGACCTAGTTTCGCGCACCATCCCGGCTCCATTCAGCTTTTCGGTGGGCCCGCGCGCTCTCTCTCTCTCTCTCTCTTTCTCTCTCTCTCTCTCTCTCTCTCTTTCTCTCTCTTCCGCGAATACTCAACCACCACCACCGCCACTACCATCTGCGTCACGCGTATCGAGCGATTCGTTGCACTGCACCAAATTCTCCCCCACGGTGTGCGTGTGCGCGGCCCCCACGTCCGTGTGCCACACAACGCCGTATACACGTAGGCGGACAGGTATTTATTCTTTGAAATTTTGCGCTCGCTAGTCGTTCCGCACGCGGGAATTATCTCGATCTTTCTTTCTCCGCGAGAATATGCGAGGTCCAAGACACGGGCCGTTAATTCGCGGGAACAATAGCGATTTTTTTTTTTCAGAGCTTCAGGGATTTTTGAGGATTCCCACGAAGCCGAGATTATACAATTTCAAATCCAATTCTAATTTTTTGACTAACTTCAAAAGGACTTTCGCTAGCTGAAATGTTGAGAATTAAAAGGAGAAAATTTTTTCCCGAGTTAAAATACCGTTATACTTTTGATTAAATCGGTAAAATTCGTTTGATTAAATCGATAAAATTTCATCAAAATTTTAATTTGATTCGATGTAATAATATTGTGGAAGCCACGGCAAATTGTAATACAGAAATATCATTAATTACCTAAACACGAAATGTCTATATATAATGTCGCGAATGAAGAAATTTTAACACGATCCTCTCAGACGCCACGCAACACACGCGCGTTCCTTTCCATGAAAATATATTCAAAGTGCTTTTAACGGCGAGTGCTTCTATTATTACGGCACGTCGCGTCTAAGGATAACGCGTTATGTAATCGCGTTTACTATAATGGAAACGATTACCCGCGTTATAAGAATTTCATCGAGGAAAAATTAACCGTTGTCGTGTCCGGCCGGGGGTGACCTGTGACATTTGCGACGGTCAGGCAATGCATTCCCGTACATTTTTCGTGTAAAAATAACGGGCCGCGATGGCGATGGCTGTTAACTTTGAGACGATAATAATGTCCGCTCGACGGCAGTCCCATGTGTGCTGTCGTGTGTTTAATTTTAAACACACCGGCCTTAGGCAAATTCCGTGCGAAGCGCGGGCGCGCGCGCGCTTTTATACGGCTTCGATATCGAGCTTGCGTGTTCACGCGATTTCCTGAAATTAGATTCGGCTCTCGATAAATCTGCATCGCGTTCACACACCGGGAAAAGCGGTATTTTTATCTCGCGCCGGGTCGCGCGCGATCTTACGTCCCCGTTATTGTTTTCACGCGGGAGGGAAAAGAGACACGTCGAAGGATGCGACATTGAGATCAGTTAATTCGTGCGTTTCGCGTTATCGTCAGACGCGGTCCCCGTCCTCCGCTGAATTGCTTCGAAGCACGACGTCGAGCGGTTGGCGAACCGGTATATGCCGAGATACCGGATGCGCAACGATATGAATGACGGTGAAACTTCCGATAATTTCGTTCGGTTGCATTTTTTAACAGCACAAGTCGAGCGTACGCTACTGATCTACGGTCGTCGATGACGACAATCTCTCTCCCTCTTTCTCTCTCCCTTTCACTCTCTTTCCGTCCCTCTTTCTCTCTCTTTCTACAAATGGTTCGATACGACTTCGGTCGTCAGGTCGACCGCCGCCGTCCCTGCGCCGAGGGCAACGCCCTCACGAGCCCTCTCATCCCCATTCAGAAGAAACGCCGGAGGAAAAGAGGGATGCTTGGTGGTGGGTGGTAAAGGGTGGAAAGGGCGCGCACGGGTGATGCATAGCCCTCGCACGCCGGGGGTACGCCGAGTCGATCCGCGCTTTACGTATGCGGGGTTCCCCGTTACCGCGCGAACTCAACAACGCGCGCAACTGCGCGACGTTAAAGATGGACGATTCCAGGGCAGTTTAGAGAGCGTCGAAGGGAAGGAGAGAAAGAAAGGCAGAGAGAGAGAGAGAGAGAAACAGAAAATCGCAGTTAATTTTCGTAAAACTTATTTCGCATCCTCGATTTCCAATATTTCATCGCCGACAATCTCGTAAGAGGCTTAGCGGCTTCCTTTCGGTTACGAGACAATTTAATATCGGTCTCGTGCCGAGGGGAAGCTGGTAAGCCTCTTCCGCAAATCGACCACCAACTAAACAACGTTTCATGCAATTTCGCGCACCCTTCGGCCCCTGTAAAATAAGCGCGCCGTAAAAAGTAGGCGAGGCCGTTGACGAGACGACGACGTCGCGTCTCTCCGCGTCTCATCGCGCGTCCCTTTCGAGGATTTCGTTAACCTACCGCAATCTAACAGCGGTTTACCCCCGGGGAATATCGATCACCTCGGGTTATCGATTTCGGGGAGAATTGGGAGAAGTAGGACGCGGCCACTTACCTCCTCTTAACTTGAGCCTGCACCGGTTGCTGGGTAGGCATAAGATTGGCCGGCCGTCTCGGCTGATACGTGCTCGTCGTCGGCGGCTGGAGCGTGGTGCTCGGCCGCGCGGTCGCGGTGGACTTTTCCGATCTCTTGCGCCGATCCTCGCCGCCCGCCGTCGCGTAGTACCGCGAATATGACATGTCCCACATATGCGGCATATCCTCATCGTTCACGATCACTGTACCGTAGCTGGGAACACGAATATTTCGTTTCCGTCACATCGGCCGGAATTTGGCCGATCGAGGCCAAGCGCGATGACGTATAACGAGGGAAAAACAAGGCTATCGCGCACGGGCGCTCAAGGGAAATTAATACGGCAGGCCATTAAGTTACCTAAGAATATATAATAAGCTACAACGCGATAAAATATATATTATGTTCGTCGACCAAATCGAACGATACGTTGAAACAATTACGCAATTCGAGGTACTGGACTCTGAATAATTTATCTGACTCGACAGTTTGGACTCACTCGTAATTCTTGTCGTACGGCGAGTACATGGCGTTGCTCGGCGATTTCTGGACCGGGGATGGCTTGTCGTCCTCGGCGAGAGCAGCTTTTAAGCCTCCCAGCCCCGAGGCAGCGAGGGTGCCTGTACATATGTATAGAAATAAATTCCCCGAGGTGATCCTCGTACTCGCCACAGAGGCCTGTGGCGGCGGCATATTTTAACAAGCAACTCACGTTTCTCCGCGTTCGTGAAGGACTCACCGGCGGCGGCGGGGACGGCAGCAGCGTTGGCGGCCTGTCGATTCTGCTGATTGCCGAACATCAGCATCTCCTGCGAGCGTTTTGCTGAAAGCGACATTGCGGGTCGTTGAAGGGGATCGAGAGAGCGAATCGAAATCAAGGGATAGAAAGGATAATTCGAACGCGAATATTTAATGATCTCGACGGGGGGATCGGACTTGGGGAGATCGGCTTACATTTCGGCTTCATGACCTGGTCCGCCTTCTTCGCGTCCTCCATCAGGCTCGCGGGCAGACACATGCCTATCGAGACCAGCGAGAACAGCAGCAGCAGCAACCACGCCCAGTTACACGTCATCTGCGACAAAGTTGCGGGATTTTCATTCGCCGGTGCGTTCGCGATGACGCACCGTCCTTTTTTTCAGGGTCAGAGAGAGATGCTCTTTCCCTTTTTTTCGCCCGCCGGGTGTTCTCCTACCCCCTCGAGTCTTCCCTCCGATAATGGAATCAGGGTCCGCAGGACCGTGGTTTATTTAGGGCTTTCCCGAGTTTTATTAGCGTTATTCGCAGCGCGACCCCGGGTCACCGTACTAAAGAAGCTTAAATGTCATGTAATGCGAAATGTCGCGAGTCTATTTCCACGGTGCGTGGAAAGACCGAGTGTAGGAGCAATAAGGGCGCTCGATAAAGGGTTTACCGTGCAGGGTGCTCGTGTGTTTGTGTACGTGTGTATGTTTGCGGTGTTACATAAAAATATTACGTCGTAGAGGTCTATAATAAAATGCCCCCTCGGATATTACACCGCCGTCACTTCGGCCGCCGCGCCGTCGCGACGTCACGGCTTCATGTAATCGACGCGGTTTACTTTCTTCGACTATGACGTTACCCGGTGTGACGTAGAACAGCGAGAGAATTCCCAGCCGCTTTACGTCACACATGTGTAACTTGACAGGTCGACTTTATCGAACTTAGTTTTATCGCGTGACGGCGATACTGCAGTCTCCACGTGTATGTATAAAAAGATTCCCTCTGAGAAATAATGAATGTTCCGAAAATGAGGAGCGATATTGTGCCCTTAATCGAAAATCGTTTCCTGGCGGACGACTCTGCCCGGGATTTCGCGCAATTATTGCGATTTAACGTGCGTAAATTTATACACGTCTCGTTCGTTATAGGAGCCGCTATTATTTATAGATTTAAGATTTCATAATGCTGGAAGGCGAGTTTCCGCGTGTTGCACGATCGAATTACCGCTTAATTGCTCTCAATTGGCTTCTCATTAATGAATTACGGGGAGCCTCTGAGGGTAAGTTAACCCGCGTAATTACGTGAAACTCTAATGGTGATGCTGGAAATGGCCGGCGGATCGAGAGAGACAGAGAGATCCTGGCGTACGCGCGCCGCGCGCGGACGGTGCTACTTCGGAAATGTCAGAGTTCAAAATTGCGTGTGTGCGGAGAACGATATGTGTGTTTCTGCGTATTTACAGTGTTGTGTCGCGATAGCTTCGTATATTGCATTCCACGTAGCCTCGCATAAAGCAAATCCGCTCGCGTTACGCGCAAATCCGGGAAGGATTTAATCGGATTTGGATGCTGAAAAATATACACAACCTCTGACCTTTCGAATTTCGCAATGGACCTCCCTTTTTTTTCGCATATATAAAGGTCACTTAATTGAACAGAAGAGGTACTCCCCTTTTGAACTGACATAGACTTGAAACGAGACGTATTTACGTGCAGGAACGTAAAATGAATTAATTATAATGTCACAGTTGAAACTATTTTCGCGAACGGTCGTCGTTTCTCGCTGCGTTCACAATTAAACCGGATCACCGGATTAAGTTGCAGCTTCGGAAATTATTACCCCCTTCGGCACTGACAATCTGTCCATTCCCGAAAACGAAACGGTTTGACAATTAAAGCGAAGCCGCGTAGTAACGCCAAACCGGATATAGAGTAGACCTAGAAATCGTACACTTGTTGCATCTACAAATACTATAGTCATTTATCGGCGTGCACGAGAGCCGCACGACTAGGTGGAATCGCAATTAAAAATGCATTTCACTGAATGAGACTCTCATTGACGTGTTAAGTGTGCGTGAGTGCCTTCCCTCGCACGCATGCACACCGTAATTAATTCCAATTTATTATATAACGGAAATGAGAAGCACCTTACACGCGCATTATACCATGTCAAAGAGGATCAACGACGGTATCGTAAAACAATATTTAATCCCGAGAAACACACACATACACACACGCGTGCGCACGTTTAACCAACTGTTTAAAATTTCTTAGACACAGACACAGAAATGTAAATCCTACAAGTATTCGCCGAAATTGAATGACGTTCGTTGAGATGAAATGTGAAAATTAACTCTGGAGCCGTGCGCAACTACCTGTATGAATGCGCCGAAAGTGGTCGACTAGTTGACGGGGCGAGAAGGGGGGGCGATAAAACGCGTTTGCAATTGCATTTCGTCGCTCGAGTTTTAGAGTATTTTTTTGTTATCCGGTGTAATCTCGCGCGCGTCAACGAAATCAAAGAGTGAAAGAAAAACTGCGGGAAGAAGCGAGCAGGTTTTGATCGTCTACCTTGCGAGACGCAGCGGTTTCGCCCGGCTTGCCCCTTTACGTGTGCGGACGCTCTTGTATCCCTTCCTCTCTCTCTCTTTCTCTTTCTTTTTCTCTCTCTCTCTCTTTCTCTCTCTCTCTCTCTTCGCAGATGGTCCTTCGGCTCGAGGTGCTCGCGGGTGGTGAAACAGGCACACGTCCTAGCGGATCCGCCGACTCGGGGTGGAATGAATGTCGGGGCTCGGCAGGACGAGTAGAAAAGCGGGTACGGTCGATCAACCAACCCCCACCTTCCGTGAACGAGCGTTCCCCGTCTCTCTCTCTCGACGTCGCGGTGGTGAGCACCCTACAAGCCGTACCGCCGTTGGCTGCGCGCGCGCTGCGTTTCCTCCGCACACGACGGCGACGACGACGACGACGGCGTGCGTGCGTGTGCGCGCGTGTTATGTCCCCGTGCACGCGTGTGGGTGCGCGCCGTTGATATAAGAGATGTTTCTGCCCACGCGGTGACCCAACTACGTCTTCTCGACCAGGATCCTCCCGTCGTCGTAAGGATCACGCTTTGCGTGGGAATTATGTTGTTATTTTGCTGTCGAAAGCCTGTCAGCCGGCATTATCTCGGCACAAGACTGGTGTGCGCCTCGCGCGACCGTTATCGAGCGTCATCACAATGGAAGTCACAATACCGGAGGCTGGCAAAAGTCCCTGGTACACCCCGCTAACAATGTCGAGTACACAGGGTGGCCTTTAATTATTTTCCCCTCTAATTGCAAGCTTAAATTCAGTCTTTCGCATCGAGACATTTTTGACGATCGCGACCCCGTGACATTCTGATATGAAAAATCTTCCGTCCTTTGCACGGTGGGAAAGAAGAACGGCGTTACTCTGCATAAATCTTTATTGACGTAATTCAATATTTCTGTAACCCAAACCCGATGCAAAAGAGGGTAAATAGATCCGTTTACGCTCTCGGCATCAGTCCTTGAAACTCAACACGACCGTTAAACGTACACGGCTCGTTTCATCATGAAAGAATGCAGCCTTCACCTTAGGCAGGATCGAGGAGGAAACTGCAAAGTAATGCGACTATTTACGTCCCCTATTTAAGCCATTCCTGCACCGTGGCTTTCATATTTATAATTTTCTTCATGAATTCATAAGAGCGGGGGATAATCTTGCATTCCTACCTTCGGTCAAGCGTGAAATTGAAGAACCAGCGTGAAACAAGAAAAAAAAACTGACACGTTTTGCTATTGTTAGCGTTATCCCCATCGCAAGATCGCAAGAGGCAGGCCAGAGACACTCGATGGAATTAATAGATAGAATAAGTTAAAACACCCTTACCTGGGGCATAGCAACCCCGCTGCGTCACGTAACCGCTACGATGACGTTATACACCTGTCTTTAATTTTAATGCGATGGTTACGCAAACGTCATAGGGGTAGTTTTCTTTGGCATTTGAAACGGTGACGTTATATACGCGAGAGACTCTACGGTACTATGACAGATAACATGATGTATACTTAAGTAGTAGAGCCGTGTGTATTTTCAACCGGCATATTATCTACCGTCCCAATCTCCACTTTTCAAACATTTACCTGCTCAATGCGAACGTTCCAATAAAAGGAATTGGCACGACGATTAAAAAAAATCAGATTGTAATAGCGGTAAGGAGGTAGAGCAGACGATGGAATTAATAAAAGTTCAATAAGAACGCAAAAATAGAAACGTTTCGCGCGCGCGGCCCCTTTATTTTAGATCTATTTTAAATCTAACATATATACAATATATATTATATATATTTATATTAGATATATTTTGATTTATGCATATATACTATACACGTGTGTATACATGAAAAGGGATAAAATCAACAGTAAACCTGTATTGAACTTTTATTTTTGCTTTAATGTTTGTGCTTTTCAATTTGAATTTTCTTTTATCTCCCTTATTCCGTATGTTCTAATAATTAATAGTATAATTTTTAAAAATTTTCATCCGTAAATAAGATATAATTCATACGAGAAATATGATTGAATATGTAATACGACGAAAAACTTGGAAAGTTCTTATAAGTTTCGTAATCCGAGGGCACACTACAGCCGCTTCTCCCTCTGTCGATTCCCAAGATTCATGTGAATTATATCCGCAAAGTCAAAACAAATTATACGTCTTGTGGGATAGTGGATGTGGCTCGGGTTTAGGGGTGAAAATCCAACAACGATCCCACGGTGAAGTCAGTGTCGGCCTAGCGCGACATGAGGGAAAAGAGAGAGAAAGAGAGATTCCTCTCTCCGGCCTCCACCCCCTCGTTCTGTATTCATCCCCAATCACCTAGCTTCAGCCCCCGCAACAGGCCATACGCCCACGCGAGAACGTTACGCGCCCACGCGCGCTTCTCCTTTGCCCCCCGCCCTCCCTCCCCCACACCGAGAATCGTGTGCCATGATCGGGGATCGGGCGGGCGGAGGGTTGGCGAGGGAAAGAGGGGCAAAGGGGCATATTTTTTTTCTCGCGTCAGCAGACCGATGCTCGACGACCTCCCGCGTCAGGCTTTCCCACCCTTCGACCATTTCAGCGGCACCTTTCGCAACGCGAAAAATAATAAAGATAAACACAAATGTTCTCGAACGTACACGTTTCAGTAGTGCACACTTTACTTTATGTCATTTTTATGAAAATTTGAAATATATAATCTGTCGGAGGAATGTAGGTCACCTTCTTCACTTCGAAGAGAAGGAGACTCTTTTTATTTTTACTGACCGGGCCATCATGCGACATGTATATGCAAAATATTGTCTTTGGGAAAATTTCGGCACGCGAATATCTGTTACTTTTGCAAAAGGTCGGCTACGTGACGAAGCTGCCGCTCTGTAAAGAGGTGGCTCCCAGGCTCTTGAAATACGTCTAAGACTCCCGGGGGTGACGTCGCCGCACTTAAAGTAATATCACGTCCCCGATAACATCAACGCGGGGCGAGCACTCGTGTAGTTCGTAAAGAAGCTCACTCGTTGACGAGCGAAACAAAAACTGACATCGAGGTCGTAGACGTGGATTATTTTCGCCGCCATGTTTTGTAAATATCGTTTGCCTTGCGACAATATTTAGTTTGACGATACGTACTTTATATTTGTGCAGCCCCGCCGAGCGGGTAATTTTTATCCCGATGACGAAATACGCGACCGCTTAAAGCTCCACTTCGGACGATCCATAAATTCGCGATAGGATTCGGAACGGGCTTCTATTTATAATTTCATGTCGCGTGCTTTTTCCATGCGTGTACAGGTTCTCCAGGTCAATTATCCAGGGTATATTACACGGCACATAAAATTATAAATAGAATTCTCTGATGTCCCAAATTCTGTCGTGAATTATAAACGATCTAAAAATGACCTCAGGACAATTTTAGATGTGATCTACAATTCGTGATAGATTTTTCTGTTCTGTAATTTTGTACACTAGAATAACGCGTGTGCCGTTTGTTTCTGGTTCGCGGCATATTTTACCGATGCTTAAAAAGGCTCATCTTCTCATTTTAATTTAAGTTTTTCTATTTTATATATTATACATATGTATAAAATATATGTTGAAAAATATATATATATAATATATCCGTATACATTCATATTTATAAATACAAACATATACATCATAAGACGCCTTCATATCTCATATCTCAAAATTAAAACTGCCTCTGCCGGATTCATTAGTCGCGATTTATCGCCGGCCGTCGAGCGTCATCAACGTGAACGGCTGCAGATACGCAGATGGATACAAATGGCCGGCGACTATTTTCATTCGTATCGCCGCCATGCGACCGTAAGTGCGCGCAATCATGCCGATTCTCCCGGGCAATCTCGAACGGAAAGAGAGCCGGCGATACCAAGGCGCGGTAACGAGATCGTGATCGCCCGCGCGAGCGTCGTTTAGAGTCGGCCTTATATCTTCGCGAATGGGGCGAGTCACCGGCAAGCTCCTCCACCGTCTCGGAGCCACTTCGGGGGCGCGAACGGCTGCCTGCGACGGCGGCTTCTATCCCGGTGCATCCGCCCTCGTGCCGTAATTGACCTATTTTCGTCGTCGTCGTCGTCGTCGCCGTCGTCGTCGCAGCCTGCTGCAGAACACGCTTGCGCAAATTGGTTTGCAACGCGTATATACACGACACACCGGGGGTGGACAGGTGCAGCCGGCGGCGCTTCCGGTAAATTACGAGAGTCCGCACCGGAGAGTTCCGTTCCAATCGCGGAAGAATATAATAGGGGCCACGCGTTCACGCGCCGCGCGTCCCCCTCTCGACACAGGGGGAGGGATGTGAGCAACGCGCGGAAGGACGCGTTATCGCGGAGAGATCGATTGGAAAATCCAATCTCTTATAATTAGTTTCAGAAAAGTTCCAGTGAACTCTTGCCGTTCGGGGCAAGGGTTCGTCCAAAGAGTTGGAGCATTTCGCTCTGCCGAGAGAGAAAGAGAGAGCGAGTGCTATACCACATTTTCCGCGAACGCGTCACATGTCCGCCTCTCGTACGACACCGATCGAACCCGCGGACAATTCCATTCGGCGGTAGCGCATCCGCTCGAGTCTTTTTTTTTTGCGAGTCGGGGTTGAGAATTTCATTGCGAAAGTGGCTGCGAGAGTACTTTACTCAGAAACGAGGAGAGCTGCTCCCGGTCGAGAGCTTTCCGATACATCTCGGTAAAATTTTCTAGACGATGAAATAACGGCTGAGAATACATTTCTTAGAAAGTTAATTAAATTCGCCGTCCGCTCGAGAGAGAGAGAGAGAGAGAGAGAGAGAGAGAGAGATTCCAAATTCCCGTTTGTCGCGTCTCGCTCAGAGAGAATTAATTTAATTTGCCGTCTCTCCACAGATGTAAGAACTCTTTTTGTTTTGCGCCTCGCTCTTCATTTACGTTGAATTATTGCGGAAAGTACTCCTCGCAGCGACCTTTAATCCGAAAGCGTAATGAACTCTCCCTCCTTTCTCCCCCTCGCGTGTAAATGTTTTGCGCTTGGAAAATCTTATCGCTACACCATTTGCTGCTCGCGCGATGATTTACGAGCCACCAGTTATTTTCGCGTTTACGCCGGCCCGCTTTCTTTCAACCTCCCACAGGTTGAAAATAGCAACTGATCATTCGCGATACGCCACTATGCAGTCGGTATTTATTCGAACAAACTGGACAGGGAGGATAGAAAATATCGTCGATCGGGTGGGAGGGGAAGATCGATTTAATGCAAATTCGTGGAGAGAATAATGACAGGAATAATTGACATTAAACAAGATATACCTTTAACACGTCGAGTTACAGCAGTCGGAAATTACGTGAAATATGGGGAAGATTTATGAATGGTATTCCGGTAATCTTTCACTCTTTATTTTCATCTCAAAGGGAATATATTCTCAGCCTCTCGACGATATCCGCTCTTCTTAAGATCTCCGATTTTTCCGCTCTTATCTTAAGACCGCGGCAAGTTTTTCTACGCAGAAATATATATACATATCTCTCTCTCTTTCATCCCTTCTTTTCCGTCGCCCCCTCGTCCCTTCGCTCCCGGCGTGCAAAGCTGACTGACGCTGACCCGAGCATGATGAAAGCTGGACGAAAAAGGAGAAACGGACGCGGCACGCGATATTGCAGGCCCGGAGTTTCCGCCACACCCACGCCTTTTCCGACGAAGGAGGGAAAGACAGTCGCGAGCTTTTCGCCTCCGTCGAGCCACACGGTCGATCGGCGTCCGTGCGATCGCAAAACCGAGGGTTTCGCAAAATCGCGCAAGTTTTCGTCGGGGGTATCGCATCCTCTCCCCTCACCCCCGTCCGTCTCTCTCCCTCCATCCCTGCAGAACGCGGACTCCCATTGACGTCAGTCTTTGAGTCCGGCGAAGTGGCGAATCCCCGTGGCACGACTGGCGAGAAAGAGAGAAAGACAGAGAGAGAAAGAGAGAGAGAGAGAGGGTCGCGATGGAGGGGCGCGAAACGGTCCCTCCGCCCCGACGACGGGGTGAGAATACATGCAGTGGCGTGACGCGAGCCGCGCGCCCCAGCCCCCTTCCGACATCCGTTTGCCCCGTGCAGTGTATCATTTACGAGCGAATTAAAGAGCGCCCGTCGCGATGTACGTCTTAAGCTATACGGACAATGCGTTTTCTTGCTCCGCTTTTACGGACACTCGACGAACTTGCAATTATTATAATTATAGTCGTACTGGCAGGCGCGTTGCGAGGAGTCTATGAGGAAGTAGACTTTATTTCAGAAAAAATTCCGGATGAAAGTTATAAACGATATTGCATCTCCGATAGAAAGACGATGAGAGAAAAAAAATTAAAAGGGAACTTTGCAAGGAAAGAATTTTTAATAATCGCGCCGCGAGAGGGAAAGAGGAAGAGGGAGGATGGAAGCGAATTCAAATAACGTACATGTCACGCAATTTGTCGGTATATTATCGCGATAGAGCTTACGCGCGGGTCTTCGACGCTTCCCGGACTCGTCAAGGACAAGGGAATCGAAATTAGTGTCGCGCCTACGCGGTATTTCGGGCGGTATTCCCGACGGTGAGATTAGCCCGATACATTTGCGAATTAATCGCGCGCGATCGAGCGTTCTGTAACGGCATGACGACGACGCGACGCGGCGCGGCGCGGCTCTCGCGCCGCGCAATACGACCCTGTACAACGCGAAATGTAATGAATTCGTGGAAGGGGATGGTCCCGAAGGAACGGATCGATGTTCCCGCTGCGTAGTAAAGGACGCCTGTTGATACGCGGCAGGAGCGGTTTCATTCATGAAAACGGCGGTGAAACGGTGAGCGCGAATCTCACCTTAACAGATCGCCGTCGCGAACGCGATATTTCGCCCCTCCCGTCGTCGCCTCGACACGTCGTCTCGATGCAAATTATACGATGTTTTATTCAACGCAATTCCATACCTTTGTCATTCACGACGACACATCGGGTTATTTTCCAAAGGAGATTACCTCTTCGGGGTCTTATATAATCGCGTTGGAAAAAAATATCGGGCGCGATCGCCGCGGGGGAATCGACGTCGTATTATCTCGAGTCGAAGGAAACGTCTGTCGGGAGAGAACAAAGAAATTATCTCTTCAGCTGCATATAATAAAATATTCTATATGGGAAAAATTTCGTTACGAAATATAGAATTTCGAAAACATATATATAGTTTTGTAACCTTTCACGCGAGACACATTCACACGCAACGAAGTATTGTTTTGTTACGTGCAATACTGTCGCGTCCTAATACGTATAATGGCAATTAAATTATTCCAAGTTTATTATATTACAAATCGAAAAAATTTCGCTTGGGTTCGATCATCTCAAATCTCTCGGAGAAAACATATATATTCGTCTTTCAGATTTGATTGCAAGGTATATAGAAAAGATACTTTAATGCAGGCAGCTATTTTTACGCGGTATATGTCTAGGTTCACCCATAATTTTTTATTATTTGTTAGAAATGTTAAACGCAAAGAATAAATAGCGGAGCAGAAAGAATTAAACCTGAGAATAAGCGTGTGAATCTCCGCGTTTTAGATGAATCCATTCCGAAGACTTGATTTCAGACCACCTGGCACCGTCAATCGTATCTAAAAGTGTAACTTTCAATTTAACTTTCGCCTGCTATAAAAGTTAACATCTAGACTCTAGAAAATCTGAAAGTAACAAGGAGAGAGCAGCAAATATGGAAGTAAACGTACCGTTCGTATCGAAGTAGATTAATTGAACGCGTCCATCGACTGCGTGCATTGCATCACTACGCGGTGCATACTGCGTACTAACGTACCCAAAAATATTTCCGGCAGGTAAACGAGTGTGTCACCGACGAGACCAACCCGGTGGGTAAAATTTTCGTGCGTGGCAGAGTGTCGATGTTATCGACTATTGACATAAGTTTACGATTATCCGGGGAGACGGCCGCTCTCGAACGGTAAAAGAATGTTACATTGACAGTCGGTATGGGAGAAATAGGAATTTCTGGATACCTACACACAATTATGGTCGGTTCGTTTAATGACAAGTGTATCGTTGCTGTTCCTCTTTTTTTTTTGACGAGTTAAGGTGCTCTCGGGTGGTACTCGGTTTTGCTCCGATTCGCGAATTAATTAAATACGTACGCGGTCGCTTCGTCGCTCCGAAAGTCTTCGCGCTGCGGAGATCCACTTTCGCGTCCACGAGAACCCCCCCCCTCCCCCTCCCCCCCGTGGTCCACGGCCTCCTCCGACCTCCGGGACAATTTCACCGGGCGCTCCAGCGATTTAGAATTACCGCGGATTGGCCGAAGTGACGTTTCCCTTTGTTGTGGTCGAGCTTCCGCGTTTCGAGCCGCAATCAGCTGTTACGGTTTTCGCGAGACTCGCACTCCGGGTAGAGCATAATGCTCTAAGCGCCCCTTGCAACTTACGCGAACTGGTCGAGCCGAATCCTTCGGAGGGCAATATGAGTTTCTCGGAGAAGGGGCAGCAGGACAGCATATCCAAGGAGGAATGGATGTCGAAGCTCGAGGAGAGCTCCTACATACAGAAGATGTCCATGAACAACCTGATCATGAATTATCTAGTCACAGGTAATAAAATCCGGGAGTCTCCCGTGTTGTCATCTGTTAGGGAGCTATAATTGAAGGAATTGTCGAGTAAAAAAAAATCGTTTCGAACAGAAGGATTCAAGGAAGCCGCCGAGAAGTTCCAGCAGGAGTCGGGGGTAGGTCCGACGGTTGAGCTGAGCTCGCTCGACGACAGGATCCGTATTCGGGACGCCATACAGAACGGCCGTATCCAGGAGGCGACCGACCTGGTGAATCAGCTTCATCCCGAACTGCTGGACAACGACAGATATCTCTACTTCCACCTGCAGCAGCTGCACCTGATCGAACTGATACGCACGGGCAGAGTCGAGGAGGCGCTCCAGTTCGCCCAGGATCAGCTCAGCGAGGCCGGCGAGTCGGACGACAACATACTGTGCGAGCTGGAGCGTACGTTGGCGCTGTTGGCCTTCGACGAGCCGCACAAGAGCCCGTTCAGCGATCTTCTACATCCGACGCACCGGCAGAAGGTGAGCGTTATTAATTCTGTAATTTTTCGTTTACGACAACAAGTTGATCTCGCTAATATTCTCGATTGTCGTGCCGTTTTACAGATCGCGAGCGAATTGAACGCCGCTATACTGAAGATGGAGCACAGGGAGTCCACCAGCCCTCGACTCAACAATCTGTTGAAGATGATACTGTGGGCACAGGACGAATTAGACAAGAAAAAAGTGAAATATCCCAAGATGACCGATCTAGGTAGTGCCACAATTGAGGATACGAAATAATTTTATAGTAGACAGAGACTGGGGAGCGTTTATCAGTTTTATTTATATAAATGCGATATAAATGATATGTCTTGAATTCACCTTTAGATGTAATTTTGTGTAAATTGCTGTTTATTTTGTAGGAGATTATATCCGAATTTTAATCTTGTATAACAAATTAGAGAGGGAGGGTGGTGCGTAGAACGATTAATGTAGAATGATCAATTATAATAAGGACTTAATAATCAAATTGATACATCATTGTTACAACTGCTGTAAAGAAATAGGAATTATTATTGCAATTTGCATTTCTTATGTCTTTCAGACTTTAACATTGTCAGTAGAGGCATCCAGCCAGGTTTTTGCAATATTATTTATTAGGAATATACACGCAATACCACGCGCAAATGAAGATTTACATGTGACTCCGGCTGTACAGCCGTCCTATATAATTGTAAAGATACATACAAATATAACATGTGATAATATTACACAATAATCTTAAAAAAAAAAAAAAATAACAGCCTTTACAGAAATGCTCGTCTAATAATTTGCTAAGTTAATACGGAAGTTCATTTTTTCAGAATTCATTTTTAGAATAATAATAGAAAATTAATAGATAATAATTTCGGTTTACGCTTTAAGTTAAAGTCTCAGTTAAAAAAGTGTCTCTTTCCAGAAGATTAATCTCCAGAAGCTTAATATATTGTCTCTCACAATTTTCTTTCTACAATTTTTAATATTATATTTCACAATATGTAAAAAGTTCGGTGTATAATTATTACTAAAAGGGAAAACAACTACCAGCCAAACACGTATTCCATTGCTTTCGAGACTAAACTGGCCGACTTCTGTGGCACGTTCTCCGGCAGCTGCGCCGCCTGCGGGCTGAAGTGTTGATTGTAACCCGCCGCCAGGGATCGTAGCTTCCGCCGTCTCGCGGTGGGCGAGCCGTTGAAGGACGACTGGCAGGGCCTGCCCATCGAGAGCGATCTCACGCTTCCGTTCAGCTTGGAGCGATTCTCCTTGTCGCAACCCAGCACGACGCCCTCGTCGGTGCACGGTATGACGCCGATCATGATCGTGCCCGAGACGATGCTGCCGTTGCACATGAGGGCCTTCTGCGCCTCCTGCTCCGACGCGCACTTCAGGTGTATCCAGTTGCTCTGGGACTGCGGCGCCGGGTGTTTGTCCACGATGCGGACCCGGCTGGAGATTTGCGACAGGACGGCGTTGACGTCGATCGGCAGGAAGCCGAAGACGGTCACCCACTGCAGCAGACTCTGCGACTCGCTCGTGCTCAAGCTGATCGGACTGTCGGGAAACATCATCGGGCTGCTCAACGTGCTCATCATGAGCCTGGACTGATTCACCGGCGTGGCTGCGACGGCTGGATGCGCGGCCGACGTAGCCGGCGACGACACGTACGAGACGTCCAGGGTGTCGAACAGTCCGCGCGTCGGCGGCCCGCCGGTGTGAGCCTTCGTGCTCATTTGCGGCGTGGTGGGAGTCGTGGTGCTGCCGAACACCGCCTTCTGACGATTGGACCGGTAATCTGGCGATCCGTACGAAACCGACGACATCAGACTGGCGTTGGTGATATTTAAATGGCGTGGATTATCCTGGGGACTCATCACGTTGATCTTTGCGGGCTGGAATTTCGAAGAACAGAATGTCAGCGGCATGCAGGTGTCGTGGATTTCGAATTAACAATAAAATACGTTCTCACAGTGTTGGTGTCGCCCAGGAGAAAACTTGGCAAGTACGACGAGGAACCACCTGGACTACCGGGACTTTGGACAGGACTATTCATCGGCGATCCTAAAGTCATTGGCTCCATCTGAAGGGAACAATTATTTTCATAAATCTTAAAATAGCGCTCGAGAATAATATTAACGAAAATTCTATTCTACTCTAAAAAAATTAATATGTAAATAACATTTTTATGTCAATGACCGAAAGCATTTACGAATTTTCTAGGTTATCTTTAGGTTGTCAATAATATTTTAGACGATCTATCTAAACGAGCTTGAAATATTTTTGTAATTTTATATGCGGATTACTCACGATCTCGAAAAGATTGCTCGCCTCCGAGATGAACTCGCTGAAGCACTAGAATAAATAATAACATCCACTTTTCAAAAAACGAGGAAAAACCGTTTTCAGTTTTATCCCGTAAAGATGGCTCTGGGGGGCCAGCTGGAAGTGACGGACGGACGGACGGGACGGGCGAGCGGGTGCGCGCGGAGCGGTGGACCCCCAACCTCGATGGATCCTTGATGACGCCATGATCTACGTCGCCGTGTCGCACAGCCGCGGATCGTGTAGGCGCGGATCCAGCCAGCCAGGCCCCCTTTTTTAATCATGAGTACCATCGGCCGCGGGTCCTACCTCCGGACGTGAGCGCATCAGCGACCGCCGTCTAATCCGGTAATCGCTCGCATCCCGTAACGGGTCCGCGGAATCGCGTGCCCGACGTTGCGCGAAGTAGAGAGATAAAAAAAAGTAACGAGCGGCTGGCCGAGGTGTGCCACCCGTCGTGTGTCCGCCGCCCGCGTCACCGCCCGCGTCACCGCCCGCGCCGCCGCCGTCGCCGCCGCCGCCGCCGCCGCCGCCGCCGCCGTCGCGAAGAGGATCCTCTTCTCTCCCGCACGCGCGCGAGACGCACGCGTGTGTGAGTGTGGGTGTGCGTGTGTATACATGTGTGTGCGAGAGGACTCGGCGTGAGAGAGAAAAACCTAACCCGTGGGGACCCGTGTGGAGAATCATCGGCGGGGAGTCCGCAAGCACCCGGTCGGCCGCGACCCCCCCGCGGGGGGAGTGGCCCCGTTGACGTCCTCTGGATCGTCTTCTCTCACCTGCGCTTCTCTCCGAAAACGGAAAAACGGCCGATCCCTCCTCCCTCCCTCGGCCCTCCCCCCCAGCGAATGACACATCTCGGCGGAGCGAACCGAAATCGTAAATCGTAAATAATGGTCGTCAAATTAGAGAATAGCTCCTGTAGATGTATCTGTCGTAAGCGCGGTATGTTTTGACATTTGTTTCATCGAGAAATCTGTGTTTTAATACGTCCTTCCCTCTCTGTCTCTCTCTCTCTCTCTCTCTCTCCCCCTCCTTCCTCGCATCGGGGTGAAATCGGGGTTAACATTTCTTTTTTGCGTTCGTTCGTTTGCAGGAGGATAGCGAGGATGTCCGTGCCACCGCCGCCACCGCCCCCGCAGGCCGGCGCTTCCGCCGGCCCGCCGGTGGGCGACAACCGGGGCTTACTGCTGCAATCCATAAGGGCGGGCAAAACTCTGAAGAAGACTGTTACCGTGGATAAGAGCACGCCTACTGTCGCCGGTAAAAATTCATTCGGGGATCGCATTAGAACAGACTTAAGTCTGCATATGTCGTGTCAACTGTCGAATTAGAAAGCAAAAAGTCGAGGGGTCAACCACTATGGGTGCTTTCCATTTAGTGACACAAGCTGACACAAATGTCATTCTATTCTTTTTTTTAAGCATTTAATGAGTAACAAAGACAAAACGATACTTGTGTCGGCTTGTGTCGCTAAGTGGAAAGCACCCTATGGCAATCAGTGTACATTTCTTTAGAAAATATTGCTAGTATTGCGGCAGTACGATAATAGCAATACATAGCAATACTTTGGCAACATCATGCGCGATAGGTGACAATATTACTATGACAATGCGAAAGCAATACAACAGCAATGCTAGCAATAAGGTGTGTTGTATTGCCACAATTAGCAATCACTGTACATTTTTTTTTTTTTTAAGTAGTGATTGACCCTCGCAAAAGGTGTACGAAGCGATCGTTGCGGCCGAAGTCAGGAATCTAATCGAGAAATATTTTATTTCGCAGGGAGAGTGACAGGCGAAACGACGGGCCCTTCTTCGTTAAGTAATAGCAGAGCTAACAGTTCTACTATTGGCAATAGTAGGACTAATAGTTCTAGCGCAATGAGCGGCAGCAATAATTCCAGCAACGGCGGGCCCAAGCTGGGCGGTTTATTCGCGGGTGGTATGCCAAAACTGAAGCCTACGGGACTGAGAGGGAACATGACTGAGAAGGAGGGACAAAGTGTAAATAATTCTAGTTTCCTTCACTCGTCACCCGGCACGTCTCAGAGTATAAGACGTGGCCCACCCCCAGTTCCGCCACCGGCCGCGCAAAAACCGCAGCTATTCAGTCAGGTAGAAAACCGAGCTCGCTCGCTCGCTCGCGAGCACTCAATACGTCGTCGCGAATGTTACATGTATCTGTAAAATCGATTGATCTCACGCAGGGGCAAAGTACGACCGATTCCGCGACGAGCAATCCGGAGGTCGCGCCCAGGGGATTCGGGAAGTCAACCGTCGTGCCTAAACCAGCGCCGTCTGCCACCCTGCAGAAACCGTCGCCGCCGCCTAAAAAGCTGAATTTGACGAGCAGCGCGAGCGTGGCGAGGGCGCAGAGCATGCGACTGCCGCGGTCGCCGCCGGTCCTGGTGCCGACGCCGTCCTCGTTGCACCAGTCGCAGGACTGCCTGAACGAGGCCACCGTCATGACGCCGCAGCCGGTGAGACCGGCGAATCGGGTTCTCAGGCCTCCCGTGACGAGGCCGCCGTCGCCGCCGGTCTCGCGGGTGACCGTGTCCGCGGCGAGGCCGCCGTCGCCACCGGCACCGCCAGTGCACTCGCGGTCGCACACGCTGCCCGTGACGGCCATGAGAGCGGCGCCGCCGCCGCCGTCGAGGATCACGGTGACCGCGCCGTGCATACCGCCGCCACCGCCGCCGCTCCCCCATCGTCCTGCGCCCACGCATCAGAGACTGGCACCGCCGCCGCCGCCGCCGCCGACGCCGCCCACGAGGAGTCTGTCGGTGCGCAACGGCGGCGCGCAAGCGGCCTCCACCTTCGACCTGGAGACGCGATTCGCCGAGATGTTTCACGCCACGCCGAGTTTTCCGCCGCCGGAACCCTTTAAGGGCTTCATCAAGGTTTATAGTAGCAGGCATGGTAAGAGAACTCGGAAGAAAATATTCTTTGACTTGTTCATTTAGAGCACTTGACTCGCTTGAGGCAATTCTACATAACGAGGGGATTGTAACATTCTTCTTTATTTTATAACTAAACACACAATGCTTCCTACAATGCCGCACATCCACACGCGTGTCCCTTAGGCCTGGTTTCATTTCACGGTTAACTCGACTCAATCGAAGTTCAATTCGCTTTATCTTTTTCTTATCTAATTGTGAGAATTAGAAAGAGATAAACAGTAAGTTAAAGTCGCGGTTTACAATCTCGCGAGATTAAAGTTAATTTTATACTTGTGGAACCGGGCCTTAATCGTGTCCTGAGTACGTGCATGTTGCCAATAAAATTTATTTTTACTCGTGGGATGCGTATATAATTCATACATTTATTTACACAATGCGTTTATACACTTCACACCATTTCCTTTTTTTACGATATTGTTTTTCAAGGTTTCTTTTAAAGTACTAACTTCCGTTCCGACGCCGCTTCCAGCCAAGACATGGAGACACTAAGCGCGTATGACACAAACAGCTCACATTTGTTTATAACCAAGCATGGATATACGTACAAGTTAAACCTGCATGCTGCTAATTGCACCTTTATTTATTAAATGGAATTCATAAGCTCGCGTTCCGTTATGAACGGAAAATAATCGTGGCGTTTCAAAAATTACAGCAGCAAAGCAACAAGCACCAGCTCCACCTCTTCAACCGTCTTCTACTCCTAACACCCTGCATTCGTTAAACACTTCGTCTGGGAGTAAACAGTGGCAACACAATGCGACCTCATTGGCATATTGAAATCTGTGCATACTTAAATCATTGCCCCGTGCATTGATTACTTGTTTAAAAACGTCTCGATGCTGCCACAAATAAAATAAAAAATGTTAAATTAAGTGAGCATGGAAAAGGTGTGAATCGGCTAGAGTATAAAAGTTTTCGAGAGCGAGAGAGAGAGATTCCGAATTCGCGCGAACCCAATTATACAATAAAACGTTTTAGACAATATTTTCTGTACAGTTTATCTTAGAAGAAAGAGTATATTTAATATAGATTATACTTACATATGTATATGTATAAAATATATATATTGAATGTATATTATATATTTTATATATATACATGTGTGTATATATATACATATATATAAAAAGGAATCGTTAGAAACTCTAGGCCTGTTGTTATCTTAACAGAAATCTAAAAGAGAGATTAAAATGGAAGGCGCATTCATTTTTAAACAAAACATCTAAAGCATACTCGGTTAATTTTCTTAATCATTGTATTGTATTTTCCTTATTTATCTCTATGTAAAATTAATAAATATCACATCAAAATCATTAATTCAGGACATTCAATGTATCGATAATTCGTCGGCCATCGATAGTCATTTGTTTTCGTTAACAAAGGCCAAAAGATGCAACTTATTTTTCAATACTAATGAACGATTGCACACACACGCACATAGCAGCAATTCGTTGACTTAAGAAATAACTGTATTAATATTGTATAATAAAAATGCAATCTTTATATATATACATGCAGGATGGTAAGCAGCGGTATATTTCTCAAATGAAAAAATAGAACATTCTTTTATCTAACAATATCTTTTATTACTTTCTTCATAATAGAGTAATATTAAATGTGTAAATCTTCTATTGCATATTTTCGACCGTCACACACGCGCGCAGTCGAGCAGTTCGTTTTAATACAATGCATTTTAGGGAAAGCATAAATACAATTCGATAGTAACAAATTCTTCAGAGCAAGAATTACATTCTGTAGTTATCAAAAGGGAAGAGACGCGTTAAGTTAATAAATAAGTCATGCATGCATACATAATTAATGGTCATTACATTTTTCTTTTCGGGGAAAAAGGCATTTAAAAATAAATAAGATACCTTTGGCGAGATGAAATGTGTCTCGAAAGGAAGCAAATAATAATAGCCGCGATATAATTTCAGTTAAGGCGGTTACACCTTTGAAACTTCTACCATGATGCATTTATTCTGCGTAAGACAACGTAAGGATGACGATAATATCACATTAGACGAAACTTAACGTTCTTCTTTTCATAAATCAAGCTCCCTTTCAATAATCCTGCGGTACTCTTCGAAACCCTCCTCGATACATCGAACCGATCCTTTGTCGCAAACCCACAATTCTGTACAAACCATTTGGATTAAGCGTTCGTCGTGCGACACCAATATTACACCAGCCTGCAACGATAAAATATTGATTACGCACAAACGCACACAAATGTGAAATGAAGGATTTGTAAATTAGATTTACAACTTAGATTTATAAATAAAAAAAAACAATACGCACTTGGCAGCTGTTGAGGGCTTTCCCCAACGCTTCGATCGATTCGATATCGAGATGATTCGTGGGCTCGTCGAGCACCAGGAAATTCGGCACTGCGGCACACATCACGGCGAACGCCACCCTCGACTTCTGCCCTCCCGAAAGAGAGTTTATGGTCTGCAGGGCCAGATTGCCGCTTATACCGAAACTCCCGAGCATTCGCCTGTACTCCTCGATTGGTTTGCCTATCGATGCAACAAAACAAAAAAAATAACAATGATCGTTAACAGTTTTCCAAGCGGCGCGTTCGCACCTGCTAACGGAATACGTACCGGGGAAATGCATCTGCAGCAACTCGACGGGACAAACGCGCATGTCCAGTTGATCGACGTGATGCTGGCTGAAGTATCCGAACTTCAGATTTCGATGCGCGTGCATGGTGCCCCGCGTCGGACTCAACGCGCCCGTGATGATCTTCAGGAGGGTGGTTTTACCCGCGCCGTTCTCCCCGACGATGCAGATGCGCGACTCCTGATTGGCAGTGAGGTTCACGTTGTTGAATATCATGTCGGTGCCGTTGTAGCTGTACGAGACCTCGTTGAGTTGCAGTATCGGCGGATTCAGCGGCTCGACGTCGGGGAAATGGATGGTCACCTCGCTCTCCTTTTCTACTGGCTTTAATTCAGGCCTGTCGAATAAACGGACAACGAGAAACGTAAAGTGTGGAGTTCGAACGGATCGCTGTTATCCGTGTGCGATAAAATCATTAACACTTACAACTTATCTAACATCTTTATCCTGCTTTGTACACTAGCCGCGCGATTTGCATTGTATCTAAATTTGTCGATAAACTCCTGTACGTGCGCTCTCTTTGCCATTTGCGCCTCGTACTCTCGTTGCTGGTTCTTCTCGCGTTCGCCTTTCGTCTTCGCGAATTGCTCGTAATTGCCTTTATACGGCTCTAGTTTCTGTGCGCGCATATACAGGATATCAGTGGGCACCTGTTGAAGAGAGAGAAATAAAGACAAAGATGATTACATTTATAGTGAAACAAAAAAATTGTTTAATCGTTACATTAATTTTTAAAATACAATTTGAACGCGGAGACATTATTGACATTGCCAACATCTCTCTGAAAATTAAATACACACGTGAATGTACTCACTGTGTCTAAGAACTTTCGGTCGTGCGACACTACGAGCAGCGTTTTCGGCCACGTTTGCAGATACCTCTCCAGCCACAGTATCGCCTTGATGTCAAGCATGTTCGTCGGCTCGTCGAGCAGCAACAGGTCCGGCTTGGAGAACAGCGCCCTCGCGAGAGCGAGCCTCATCCGCCAGCCGCCGGAGAACGCCTTCGTCGGCCAGGACTGCCTCTCGACGGCGAATCCGAGCCCCGACAGGATCGCGCTCGCCCTGGCCGGCGCCTTGTCGACCTCGGCCAGCTGCATCGCCTCGTACACCCGGGCCAGTTCCTCGCCCAGCGTGTCGCCCGCCTTGGAGCCGTCCCTCTCTATCGCCGCCTGCAGCTTCGCCTCCTGGCTGAGCAACGCGCACCGCTCCTCGTCGCACTCGAGAACGGACTCGAGCGCGGACGTGTCGTCGCCGGCCACCTCCTGCTCGACGTGCAACACCCGCACGTGCGACGGTATTCTCAGCTGCTTGCTGAAAGCCAATATAACGGGATTGATTCGCGTTCGAATCGGAAGGACCCCCCCGTCGTTTTTTAAGGACTCTAGCGCGTGATTCATATACCTCGATATCATTCGCAGCAAGGTCGTTTTGCCGAGCCCGTTTCTACCGATCAGACCGTATCGTCTGCCGAATGTAAGCAACAGATCGGCGCCCTGCAGCAGTACCCTATCGCCGAAGGCGATATCGAAGTTCTCTATCCTGATATCCTGGGTCTTGTTCACTCCGCCCTTCATCTCCATCCGACTGTCCTTCTTACTCGTCATTTGACTGGCGCTGGCGCTGCTCTCGGGCAAATGATTGGCAGTGTTGACGCGGGAAGCCGAGCCCTGCTCGTTTACGATTCGCTTTTCCTGCTTCTGCTGCAGCTTGGCCTCGGCCTTCTCCAGCTTCTTGGCATCCACTTTCTGTCGCAACAATGTGCAATATTGTCATACGAATGGCAGATAAGATACATAAGCAGATAAGCTAAGACAAATAAGATAATTACATGCGAAAAGTTAATAATAGTCATGAGCAAATAGTTGAGAGCACGGAATTAATTAAGGAAAATTTGTATGCTAGTAAGAAAACGTCAATTACAAGCATTATTCGAAATAAATCTAGCACAACCCCAATCAGCAGACAATGTTTTTTAAATATCTTTTATAAACATTTATTTAACATATTAAATATTTAAAAAATAATAAAAAAAAAACATTGTCTGCTGATTGGGATTGTATATTACCATCACGTCGTCCCTGGTCGTAACCCATATACTCTTAATCTGCTCGACTTGCGCCTCCAAGGTGGCGGCCAGCGAGCCGAGGTGCACCGGGGCGTTTAATACTTTGTTCACGCCGTTTCTTCTCCTGTCCATGTCGTCGTCGTCGTTCGAACTACCTTTCAATATTTCCAACAGTCTCGCGCATATTTGCCTGCGGACGGAGGACAAAGTACAATGAATACAATTTTCGCTCTCGCGAGACCGATCGAGGAGCGACGAATCTTACGAACTCGAATACACGGCGAGGTAGGTGGGAAGGAAAAGGCGCGACGGAGGGATTTTGAGTACGAGGAGAATCGTTTTCGTCGGCCGGCGTGTTAATTAAAGAGTGAACAAATGCAAACACATTTACAGACCTAACCTCGTTTTCTGATTTGTCCGCCACCTCGTGCAGCACCTGTCCGATCGCCTCGTACACCTCGTCGACGTCCTCGAAGTCCTCCTTGGAGCTGTCCAGGATACCTGCGCGCGGAAGGACACGCGTGTCAGAGAGCGGGGCTCGGCCAAATGTACACCGAGATCGCCGGAGATCTCCCACCCCGTACGGAGGTTATATTCCGCGCGGAAGGGAAAACGTACCTTGCACGTACTGATACAGATCGTCGTCTATCGTCGGGAACTCGCTGCGGATGTACTCGCCGCAGGTCGCCATAATACTCGTTCAGTTTTCCAGAAGGGACAGACAGTTTAAAAAAAAAGGGGGGAAAAGATCCCGGGATCGGGAGTGAGCCCACACACACGCACGCCAACAACGAGGTCCTCCTGACAGACGGGCCGTGTCAAGTCTGCGGCGCCGTGCTGCCACCACCTAAGCCAACACATGTTCGCCGCCGCCATCTTGGAACTCGGCGCTACTCGGTGGCTCAAGAGCGGCGTCAGAGCGCGCGGGGGCAGCGAGGGGACGGGTGGCCGTCCGCTGGCGCGACGTCGTCCCGGCGCGTGTACGCGATTTTTCCGGCGACTCGCCGCTCGCCGCGCGCGCGAGTCCGCGTATCCCCGTGTGTCGCGAGCCAACGATCGCGGTGGTGATGGCCCCCGCCATCTTGTAGCTGTCAAACGCGAGCCTGCCTGCTGACGATGCGCGAGCCCCCTCGTCGGAGTCGCGTCGTCCGGAGTCGCTCCGAACGTTACGTACACTCGACGCGATCCTCCTCGGACGCGATCCGCGATCGCCGTTCCGCGCGTGGGCGCGACCCACGATCCCTCAGGTTGACCGCGGCGGTCTTCTAGGAAGCCACGGCTTCCTGCGCGGTCGTCCTCCTGTTGTCATTCGCGACGCGCGAGCCCGCGCGCGCGCGCCCCGCCAGGTCGTTTTCCTCTCGCTGTGGTCGCTGTAAATAATCGCCGACCGATGCACCTTCGCTGAGCTGCTGGAGATCACTTGCGAAGGAGGCAAGGGTGGAGAGAGTGAGAGTGAGAGAGAGAGAGAGAGGAGAGGGAAAAAGGAAAAGTCGTCGACGGGGCGAGAACGCCCCGCCAGGAAGAGAACGCCCTGGCGGAGACCCGCAGGAACGACGCAGGGACGACCGACGTCGTGGAGTCGAATGTCGATCAGGGATTGCGCGCGGGCATGGACGAGCGGGAGGTACTTCTCCTACCGCCCTTCTCGGGCGCGAGTAGCAAGGAACGGGCGAGGAAGAAGCTCTGGCGCAGCGCGGTAAAGATAGTGGCGAGCGACGACGAGGACTCGGACGCGGACGAGCACGAGTGCGCGTTCTTCCCGTCCAAGCGGCACTGCACGCAGTTGTCCAAGGCCACCGAACCTGGTCGCCCAGACGCGGTAATTAGTTGCATCACGACGATGCATAATTTCATAATGACGTGCTCTCGTTACTTTTACGTGACGTTACATTAATTGACGATTACACGCGGGAGTAGGATTTCTTCTCGCGTCAATAAACCGTTAATAAACCGTCAATAAACCTCAATATCTGTGCCTTTATAGCTTTGCAGTATTTTTTTTATCGTACGGTACATACATAGCAAATTACGTTCTATTAATTATTTGTTATATGAGAGATAATTATGGATCATCGATGCATAAGAAACGATTGTCGCTCTAGGAGCAGCATACCACCAGTGCGAACGTCGCGGAGACGCCAGCCAGCAGCGATTACGATGAGATTATATACCAAATACATATTGAGGAGAAGCTGAAGTTGTGGCAGGCCTTCCAGGAGGAGGAGGGATCCATGGATAACAGCATCAACGAGGTCCTGGCTTACTACAGGATGATGCATCCGCCCGATCCCCTCGAGGAGGAGTCGTCCGTCGGCTCCAGGTTCCACCAGTCGTACCGCGGCAACGACATGGAGGACACGGCGGTGACGATGGCGATCCGCAATCACGGCTTAGTCCAGTCGGCCGAGCTCGCGCTCCAGCCGCACTACTGTAAATGCATAGGTGTCGATTGTTCCTTCTCGTCCAAATGCATGTACGAACTTGAGGACTTTCCCTATGGGACGGTCTACAGCAACGTAGAAACGGGTAGATGCAATGCATTGGACGCGGACAAAGTATACGAGTGTGATCAGCCGGAGGACTTCCTGGAGCGCGCCGTCGGGGAGGCGATCAAGAAGAAAGGTCTAAGCGCTCTGAGTGTGGATTACGGTTGAATTGAACTCTCGCGCTCAACGGCCCGCTCTAATTCCTTTGGTGTATTTTTATATATATATATATATGTATGTATATATATATATATATATATATATATATATATATAAAATAGCGTACATCTCCCTAATTGTTGTACTCTGTAAACCTATTGCGACGTTTTTATATTATTGATTTTTGTTGTACGACGACAGAGTTACGATGCGTTATTCTGCATGTGAGCGATCATGTCTCTCGAAACATTTATACTCGAATATATAGTACATATATATACACACATTCCGTTGTAACGACTCGCTTGCGACAGGACAACTTGATGACTTCATTTTATTCGGTAAATGCGAAGTGACTCGCGTCGAAGTTATCGTAGCGATTTTCCGTTTATTAATCCTCAATAACCAGCCATATAGTATTAATACGGCGTTAATTATATTTTCATACGCAGATGTATGGAGGTATGATTATTGCGTCAAGAAAAAAAAATATATATATATATGTTAAATCAAATTAGCTTTGTAAACAATACTTGAGAAGTATAAGCAGCTATTTTGATTATAGTATATAAAATTCGTTTTAATCAGAAACGTGTACATTTCCTTTTGCAGCCGTCGAACTTGTGCAGATTTGCCTCTCCCTGTACTTTCTGTCATATTAATTATACAACGCGTACCGAGCTCGCTTTTATAATTAAATACGACGTAATTGTAAGACAAATAGACGGGAAACGAAAAGGAAATCGATTTTTTTTTAATGACAAGTTTACTTGTTTCAATAATTTATCTGTTCAAATTACGCGGTTCTCTCGAGATTAATCACGCGATCAATTTAATTTTTATGTGCTGAAAGTTTCTGTAGTCGATGGCCAATCGCAGGACATTATTCCTTGCATTTTCTCCTGCATGTTGGCAGCGCCAACGTTGACAGAAGTCAACAGGTTACCCAGCACGTCAAACACACAAAAAAAACAAAAGGTAGGATTCCAACCTCCAACCTCGTCGGATGTTGATCGAACGTGACCGGTTGGGCTGTACGTGTTTACGCTATTTCTTTCAATCGATCCGTTAAAGCGAGCGCTCGTGCGACATGGCCAATTCGTCGTTCTCGTCGTCCATACAATCCTACAGCGAACCGCTCACGCAGGACCAGGAACTGGCGATTTACAAGAGCGTGAAAATGGTCAGGTTACGCGAAAAACTTTCGGTAACGCGGCTAGGAAATGCACACCGTTTCGCGCCGCTCGCTGAACCCGATCTGTCTTCGATCTGTTGCAGAATCTGCAGGACATTCAGAAAGCCACGAACGACATTAATCTGAAATTCAGAGATGCACGGAGAGAGATGCGCGTCACGGCCGCTTTGCTGAACGCGATCGAGTCGAAAGAGCCGGCTGTCAATCAGGATTGACGCGTTCGCTGAGAGACAAAAATAGTACGGCAAAGTATATTTCGTCGGGAGAATGCGAGAAATAACACCAAATATCACTCGCCAAACTCGCGAACTTCTCAAACGCCGCGCAGATTATTCAAGAGTATTGACAAGTATTCAATAAGAGATCTGCGGTGACCTGAGGATCGGGGATTTAAATCGAGATATTAATGGGTCAATTTTAATCAGAATCGTGAGGTTTATAACTTATTCCCGTAAGACTTGTATAAACTTGTGACTTTAATTGTAATTCTGTATCATCATAAGACAATCGCATTTGTAAATATCTATGTTTTCTTAAGGAAATTTTACAGCTGGCAAGAAGCTGTCTGTAAAGATATCGCATAAAGTTATAAGCATTTAGTCAGTAAGTTCTTGCAAGTCTTGTAAACATTCAATCATAAGTACAAATCTTACAAGCTAAATTTATGAATTACCTTATGATTCTGTTTAGAAATTGATCCATTAAAGATCCTTGCCCTGTTTGAACATAAATTTGCAATGAAAATAATTTTCTTGTACGAGAATAACTTGTCATAACACTCCTTTTGAAGTGTTTTTTGTTTTAATAGTAAAGTAATATTGATTTTCAGTTTTTACAGTTATATAAGATTTAATGTAAAAAATAAAACGA